CTGGATGTGGCTCTGGGCAGCCTGGTCTGCTGATGGTGACCCTGCACATAGAAGGGGGTTGAAACTGGATGATCACTGTGGTCCTTTTCAACCCCGGCCATTCTGTGATTCTATGAGTTAGGAGGTGTGATGAGTGGCACAGTACTCAACTCTCTTGTCCTGTCTGTGCAAGATGCCTCTGTGCTGCCTTTTTCCAATCCTTCTGCAGTGACAGGAAAGAAGTTCAAAGGTCAGTTGTTTTCGATGCCTGTGCTGAGCAGTATTCAGGTGAGGATTTCCTCCCCACCCTCTCTGAACCAGAGACTGGCAGCCTGTTTCTTATTGCCACCTGCCTTTAACCTGGTGGTCAGCTGGAGGGATGAACTCATATTTGCTTTTCTTTTGCTCTTTAGCCCACTGCCCTATCTTAGGAATGTGGGGTGGTTGAGACACAATTATCAAAACTTTCTTTCCAACTAAAATCCATCAAGTCTGATGGGAATGAGGCCAGACTCGGCACAGTAATTGTAGAACAGCAAAGAATCCCCTTGAGATCCTGCTTGTGCAATACCTTGCTGCCAGCAAGGAGCAAGTGGTACCTCTGCTACTGCTAACGAGCTCTTCTCCTGACATGTGTTGATGGGATTTAATTTTGTTTTAAAGGCAAGACACTGTAAAAGCAAGAGTGTTTTTGCTGCTTGCAAAACTGCCTTACGCAAGTAGTTGAAGCTTAGATTTGCTTCGGGCCCAGGAGAAATCACCAATACCTAGACAAAATTTTTCATTTATAAAACAGAACAATCCATGCTCAAGTACTTCCACTTACATCAGATCCTTGCAGTTTTTTTTAAATGTGTGCATGCTAATGTAGTGTTCTGTTGTCATTTATTAGCCTGCTCACCCAGATATGCTGGGGAGCTCACGTAGATCCAAAATAACCTCTGCTGACACCTCTACAGCCATTGCATTAATGATCTGATTTGCTTTCCTATCTTCCAAAGAAAAGATACTGCAAATATCTCCTGCAGAGCTGCTTTGATCCAATGGCTTTAGGTCTCTTCAGGTGTTAAGGGCAGCACTGGGGACCTATGCAAGAAAGAAATGGAAAGGAGATCATAGAGTCTCAAACAGAGAATTGAGTTGGAAGGGACCCTTAAACGTCATCTAGTTCAACTCCCTTGCAATGAACAGGGATGCTTACAGCTCCATCAGGTGCTCAGAGCCCTGTCTTGCCTGACCATCAGGACCATGCCTGACCTGGGCATCTTCAAGGAGAGGCATCTACCATGACTACGACAGAATGTGAATAGTCTTAAACTTTGGCATAAGGCTTCCATGGGTTTGTTTTCAGGGCTGCCTTTGTAAAAAGAGGCTAAAAAATGCAATTAGACTTGATTTGTCTGTGTCACTATCAGTTATTTTATATTAAGGCAGCCAGTGGAATTGCTTCAAGTTACAGGGAATAGATTTCCTGCTGCATTTCTTGCTTCCACGTATGTAGTTGCCTTATTCACATCCAGGACCCATCCAGATTCTGCAAGTGGAAGGATAGGACAAAATGGAGGCATGCCATGTTGTTCCTCCAGGGGTCTAAGTGTGCTCACACAAGGCCACGAGAGCAAGTCTAATGTTGGCAATTCATCACCATTGCTAATGTTGATGTTAACTCCCAGGGAGCTGCTTGTAGAGCATGCTGTGCACATGGATGTGTGCCTCCTAGAAATCTGGGCTGTGTGTGTTGCCCTGGTGTGATCCCAGGGGATGCCAGAGATGTGTTGCTGACTTTTTGGTTATCCTGAGCGGATCCTGGAGCACAGCCTAACAGCTAAGGTCAGCAGCCCTGGCAGCTCTGCTCTGTGTGAGAGAACAGAGACAATAAAATGCCCATAACTCGCTTGCCTAATATAAAGTTGTGCAGCCTGCTTTGTCCAGCGTGCAGAACCATGAACATAGAAATGGGAATACTATGTGACCCTGACCTCTCTGCTTAAGTATACTTAATCTTGGCACTCAGGTGTGAAATTATTCCTGTTAGCAAGGTGTAGCTGATAGTTGATAGGTAGATAGAATCTGCCTCCCTGTAGATAGGGGGTGAATCCATGGCTCTCTATGCCCTTTCTGCTCCCAGTGAAGTGCGTGAGTGTGAAGGCTGAGGGTGTTGCATCTTTATGGCTCCTCCAAAACTGGAGATGGAAGCAGTAATATAGTGTCAGGAGGCTGAGGAAAATAGATATCAGGCAGATGCATGTTGGTCTTAGGCTTGAGCACAGCCATCACTTAATAGACATGCCATGGGCAATCTCCTGCATGATTTTGTCCTGGTTTGCCTATCAGGTTCTTCTGTCTGTGGTAGGTAAGTGGATATTCTTTAAGCTGGGCATAAACACACTTGGGGAATGAGTGTATTTTTTTCCTATTCTTCACAGAATCATTAAGGTTCAAGAAGACCTCAAAAATCCACCAAGCCCAACCCATCCCCATCATGCCCTCTAAACCATATCCCCAAGTGCCACTTCTTGTGGTTATGGAATACCTCCAGGGATGGACCACCTCCCTGGGCAGCCCATTCCTGCCTGACTGCTGCCAGGAGAAGGAATTTTTCCCAATATCCAACACGAACATCCCCTGGTGCAACTTAGGGCCGTTACCTCTTGTCCTATCATGATTCCATATTGCTGCTAGTTTGCAACTGTCCTTCAGTAATGCTATAGCATGCTAATGGGTCTTTGAGATGATAGCCCAGAACTGGGATCGATCTCCTCTTCCTGGACTGAGTTTGAACAGTGCATTGCCTTGGTGAAATGATGAATGAGGTTCCCAAAACATTACCTCTATGCCCAAAACAGCTTTTTTTTTGAGAAGTTTGAAAGATTCTGGTCCAACAGACGTAATTAGATGTTTTTGCTTGTGTTGATAAAGCAGCACTCGGAGCTCATTCATGATGAGTACTTGAGAGAGCTGTCAGCATAAAGGGTTGATATGCACTTGAAGCTGATAAGAGGAGCCAAGAGATGCTGCATGATAAAAAGGACAACATGAATTTCTGTTGCATTTGCATGCACGTGAAGGCGTGGTGTGAAGGACAGAGGACAGATATCAGCTTTTAGCACGTGCTTGCTATTGTTCAAGACTGTGTTTTTTCTCTAGAACTATTTTATGCAAAAGCTGAAAAACCGAAACATGTTTTCTCTTCAATGAATATTTATGGCTTCCAAATCTTCCAGCATACTTCTGCATATGTAATTAGGCTGTAAATTGAATAAGTGAGCGCTGGAGAACTACAAATGGAAAAGCCTGGGGAAAATGCTTGATGTTTCTGATTTAGTTGCGTGCTTACTTCTTAATAATAAATAGCATTTTCAAGATAAAACAGCTTGTGCTTTCCAAAGAATGTGTCAAAAGCAGTAATAATTGGAACAGCTGTGCCAGCAGACTTAAGTGATGCTCTTAATCTCGTGTAGGATGTCCAAGTGAACTTTAGAAGAAGTTGAGTGATGTAACCAAAGCCTCTGAACCATTTTATTTCAAGATGAATGCAGTCCTCTCCCCATTTTCTGTCTCCAGTTTGATCTCCAGTCTGCAGTGTTTTAACCATTTGAGTGTGAATATCACCTTTGGTGCAAAGTAAAAACATTATCTCTGTCCCTATAACTGTTACTTGGAGGCAGAGACCAATTCCCATCTCACTCTAGTCTGCTTTCAGGCAGTTGTAGGACATCATGAGGTCTCCCCTGAACCTCGTCTTCTCCAGGCTGACCCATTCCAGCTCCCTCAGCTGCTTTCATAAGAACTGTGCTCCAGACCCTTCACAGCTCCGTTTTCCCTTCTTTGGATGCACTTCAGGTTCTCAATATCTATGTTGTAGCGTAGGGCCCAAAACAGAACACAGCACTCAAAGTGCTGAGTGCAGGGGGCAGCAGGGCTGAGCTTGTAGTGGAGTCATCCTGTGGAGTGGGATTGAAGCAGTTCTGAGTCTGATACTTGGAAAATGAGGTATGTAGAAGAAACAAATGTCCCGTGAATGTCTGTAACACTGTATTACATCCCTGTGTTTTTCCACAGCTTGGCACTGGAAAGGCTTTTTTGGTCTTGAGTAGTTTTTTTTTCTGTGTCACTATGCTTATTTGAACAAGGACTGTTCATAATTTCAGTAGCTGCACAATCTTTTGGTTTCTTTTGAAGAGTTGGGAGGTGAAAATTTTGAAGGAGAAGGGTGAACAATACCTGCAGTGTTAGTAATGCTGCAGAGAAGCCACTGTGTCTGCAGTCAGCAAAGAGAGGGGGCCATGGCAAAAAAAAACAATGGGATTTCATTTGTTTTTTAGTTTCTATCACAAAATCTGCTTCGTAGACACCCTAAGACAATGTTAACGCTATTTTTTTGGACCAGGAACTCTTGGACACCTCTGTCCCCGCAGCTCAACTTCATAGTGAGTGACAGCTAATAGTCTCTAAACAGCAGTTTTCTTAAGAGCTCTGTTGCTTTACGCTTTGATTTATGGAGGCAGAGTGGTGAGTTGATGGGACACTAATGTGCTCATCCTCGAGTCACTGCGTGTGATCTCTCACAGCCTGCTCCCTTGGAAGTGCCTGGGTGTTATTGTTGACTTTTTAACGAGGACAAGAATGGTTTCCAAACGAGACTGACTCATGCAATCTTAGCCTCAATCTATCAAGCAGCGATGCATGGGATTAAATGATTACCTAAAGTATTAAGAATTAGATTTGGGGGGAAGCAGCAGGGAGGGGGGTGGGTAGTAAAGGGTAAAAATACTCAGGGAATTTGAAAAACAAACCAGAAAGCTACAAGACTCAAATTGTGGCTGATCAGACTGGTAAAAGGCTGCTTCTGCACTTGGTTTATATTTCCTAAATGGGAAATGTTGTGAAAATTGAATCTCTGCTTTTCTCTAGATATAGTCCTCTGTCTGCCAGGAGTGATACTTTATCTTGTCCTGAGCCTTGTGCTGCCTGTCAGATGCCTGTGATAGTAACACTGTTTAACTTTTTTTCTTTTCCAGCTGAAAATGAAAGTGCTGGCTGCGTGTTACTACACACATCGAGGAAGGTAAGCAGGGATTCCGGGTGATAGACTTCGTGGAGAAGCAGAGAAAAGGATTTTGAAGCACACCGGGGGAGTGGGGAGATGGGTTTTATTGGCCAGAGCAGGATATATTAATACCTTCTTCCCTAAATTCCTCAGTCTTCATTTAAGAATACAAAGCCAACGTGCTGCTCGTTCTCCAAACAATTTCTCTGTAATTGTTTCACTGTGTTTTGTCCCAGACAATTCCTTGACATGTTAATTCATCACTTTCTCTTCTGCAGCTGCCTGCGAAGGGATCCAAGCATACACCACAGAGACTCAGGCTGCTTAGTTCCTTTCCAGCTGAAAGCACAAACACCCCATAGACACTGCTGTGACTTGATTTCCTGTTTATTCCCACTAATCAGATCTGCCCCCATGAAGTTCAGCAGGAGTGAAATACATGGAAACACTCCGTTTAGGAGGACAATTGGGAAACAGTGTTTAGTTTACTCTTGAGACAGTAACTTGATAATGATAAGGCAGAAACATGAGAAACCTCCCATAGGCTGTGTTACTGCAGACCTCCAACTATGAAAGTACAAAGTATGCAGAGAGGAAATGAACTGATATTTAATATCACTTGCAGGCTTGATCTTTGGGGCTGAAGCATGACCTGTGGTGCTTTAGGCTGTCATCTCTTTAGGCTGTCATCTCTTGTCCCACCTGGGCTGGAGGGACTGGCTGTGTAAACTTGTAACATCGTTGATGTTGGCCAATTTAATATTACAGGCTTGTTTAATTTGCCTTATCTAATACAACTGCCTAAGCTGCTTTGAGCTGGTTACACTTGACTGGAAGTAACCTAAAATCTTGATCACTTAAAGTGAAAATTCTAAGTCCAAATGCAGGATCTACTTCTGATAAGAAATAGTTGGAAGCTCAAAGTATCTCGTCTTCCAGAGTTTTTCTTCAGAGCTGTAGGATTCTTGCATTTCTGGCCTGTAGTTCATGCACGAGCGTTTTAGTGTGCTGTAGAGCAACAAATACCAGAGGGGATAGCATGCTTTAGCAAGGCTAGAGAGAAAAAAATGCCACGGTGGACAAGTAAAATTGTTGTGCTTCAAACATAGAGGAATTTGGGTCCTGGGTCACAGGCGAAAGCATCACTAGAAGAACAAGGGTTTAGTCAGATGTTTTATGTGTGGAGAGATGTTTCTCTTCAGGACTGTCCCTGTTCTCTGATGATAGTCCATGGCTCTTGCCTCCCTTGAGGAGTTCTGGAAAGGCAGTGCATGTCTTGGACAAGTTTGGTACGTCCCTTGATGGGCGCATAGGGAATCTGCTCACAGTCTGAACTACTTAATCACCATCTCAGTGTGCTTCTGAGGAAACATCTGTGAGCATCTGGCAAGAGCAGAGGTGGAACTGTGCTCAGGACAATGTGGTTTTGGGGAACACCTTCTCCTGAGATTTTTGCAGCCTCTGTAAGTGGATTTGTCTGTGGAACAGCAGGCCAGCAGATGACGTTGATTTTGGATGTTCTTGATGAGTGTTGAAAGCTTTGTTTTGCATGGATTGTGTGTCGCTTGGTCTAATGGATGTTGGCCAAGGGTCCTGCTTGTGTGATGTTAGGGGAGGCTGTTTCAATGCATTCTTATTCCTGAAGCATGACAGCTTCTCTTCTTGCTATGATGCACTGTACAGCTTTGCAATTAGGAATACATACTATTAAAATGACTATTGAGTAGCTGTCTTGAGTTTCTTGCTAAGAAGTTTCCAGCATGCAGTATCCTGGTGTGACTTGACTATCTGGCTAAAAATATTTGTGAAGGAGTAGTCATTAATTTCTCTTCAAAACAGTGGGTGTCCTGACTGGAACAGGTTCTGTTTGAGCTATCTCTGAGGTGTTGCTGTACCAGCAATTCAACTAATTTGCTCTTGGTTTGTCTCAGCTGGCGAGCAACATATTTATATCCTCTCATGGTGGCGTGCTGCCTTGCAGTGTTCTGTGTGTATATCTTACTCGGTGTTATAGGAGTGGGAATAAGGGTAGTTATTGTACTTATTTCATATAATAGAATAGGAGCAGGGGAATGAGGCAGGGCTGAGGTATGGAAAACTATTTACAGAAGGCATTATTAGAAGATTGTTGCAGAGCTGGAGTTACAGAATCAAAGAGTCCTTAAAGTTGGTAGAGACCTCTGAAAGTCATCTTGTACCATCCCTGTTTACTGCAGGAGAGATGGACAACTGGAACAGGCTGCCCAAGCCTGATTCAGCCTCACCTTTGAAGTCTCCAGGGACAGGACATCAACCACGTCTCTGGGCAACCTGTTCCTATACCTCACCACCCTCATTGTAAAAACTTTCCTGATATCCAACTTACTTCTACCTTCTTTAAGCTTGAATCATTTCCCCTTGTTCTATCACCACAGACCCTGCTAAAAGCCTGGGCTTTCTGGGCTGATTCATGTCCCCCTTCCTATCCACCAGTACCTCCAGGTCTTTTTTGGCAGGGCTGTGCTCTATCCTTTCATCCCCCAGCTTGTAGTGACGATTGCTTCGACCCAGGTGCAAAATCTTGCATTTGAGTTGAATCCTTGTGACTTGCATCAAAGCTGCTGACATTGCTATCCTAACTCAACAAGCAAATGCTGCTGTCCTGTGCAGATCAGTGGAGGATCAGCATTGATTGACATGATGTGGGCAGATAATAGCCATCTGCTGAATGCCTCTGATTCATTTCTGTTATCTATCAGCCAACTTCTTGCTTTCATAGTTCTGCTACTGCTGACTTCTCTCAAGCATGTGAGAAATTGATGACATGAAAACAGTTTTACGTTCTTGAGATCTTGATGCTGCGGCATTCCAATTGTCCTTAACTTTCTTGATACTTCCTTTGCTCCCTGCTCTTCCATTTTTGTTAAATCATAAAATCCAGAAGGCTGGAGGAGACCTTTGAGACCACCAAGTCCAACCCCAACCCATCCCTACCATGCCCACTGACTGTGGCTGCAAGTGCCCCATCCCCATGGTTTTTGGATACCTCCAGGAACAGTGACTCCACCACCTCCCTGTGCTAGTGCCTGATCACTCTTTAGAAAAAAGAGTTGTTTCATAAAATCCAGCTAGAACCTCCTCTAAATCCTCTGTAGACTGTTTAATCTCTCCACTGTTTGAACATCCATCATAGGTTAGACTCTGTGTGCCAAACAAGCTGGAACAGGACACCTTTGAGAGAAGTTCTGGTCACCTGGTGAACTCACGAGCGCAAATATTACAGGTGGTGATAGGGGTTTAACCTGCTTTCATGCAGTGATAGCCTAAGATGGATTGGCCACTTGCAGTTCTGCCACCTCCCACCTTAGGTGGGATGGTGACATAGCTGTGTCACTATCTCCTCTCCTAAGAGCAGATGGCAGTAAAACCTTGTGGGTGGCAATGAAATCCTTCAGAGAATCCTCAGTCTCAGTTCTCCAAGGCTATGTAAGAAATGATTGATGCAAAGTAAAACAGTGTTAATTGCAATGGATGTGTACTGACAACTTGATAGTTGCTGTGATAATTACAGTAATTAGTGAGATATTAGCATTTTTCTTAGTGTCTAGGCTATAAATGGAAAAGGTGGAGTGGGTATATGTGAGAGGAAGGGATCCATGACTCAAGCAGTATAGTGGTCCCTATGACAGGGGGGCAACGAGCCAAGGTCTTTGTTGTGGAGGCAGCATGGTTTCAGTTTTATTAAAGCAATTTGGAGTGTACATCTTACTGAGTTTGAGGGGAGTCGTAGGCTTAAATGCATCTTTAAAATCCAGTCTGCAGACTCATAACATCTTGTCTAGCTTCCTGTGGGATGGAAGATCCATATAATGAAATGCAAGTCCTATTTCCTTGTTTTATCTCAAGCTGTTGAAGGATGGGACAGGACTGTCAGTCCTTGACTCACTACTGAGAGTGTTAACTGCGTGCATGGATTTCTAAGAACTGTGAAATGGGAACAACAAATCTGCAGTTTGATAATTCAATTAACAAATGTCATACCTGACAAATGAAGAAAGGAATTGAGCTTCTGTAATACAGCGTGGTTGTTTCTTCCATTTCAAGGTCTACAAGTCTGACTGGGACAACAGACAGAACCAGCAGAGTTGAGGCAGTACTGGCCTTTTCTTGCCATCTGGTTTTCCTCCTCTCATGCACTGATTCAAAGCTAAATGTTAGGTAGAGAGGAAGAAAATTTCCTTGTGAGAACAATAAGAATGTAGGAAGAATAAAAAGACACTGGGCTGCATGGGAGTTCCTTATCTCCCTCCCCAAGCTCCTAAATAAGGAGGACTTGGGGAGATGGCTCTTGGGAAGAGCTGACATAGGATGCCCAGAGATGCACACTAGCAGTTCTTCACTCTGAGCTGGGAGTTAATGTCTTCCTGACAGCTTTGTCCACGTCATTGCAAACATGTTGAATTGTTTAAACCAGAAGAAGGCTTAAGATGCTACTGTAAGCTTGCTATCTTTTATCTTAGGAAATGAAATTGTTTGTTTATTCATCACTGCGTTCAACATCAGGGTGTAAACTGTGACCAGGCAATCGCCCTTAATTAGCATAAGCCTTGAAATTGCCTTTTAATGCATTAATGATATAAAAAACTACTTTTGCAATGTGATCTGAAAAAAGTGATTCTGAAATCATTGGTTTGTTGACAGTAATATCAGAAAAAGCTGTTGTCTTGTAAACTACAAAACCTTGTTCCTTTGTCTGGTATTGATACAGCTGTCTAATGCTCTGGCCTCTTTTTAATACAGTACCTGAAATTAAAGAATTTTGAGGAAGAAGTCAGAGCCCACAGAGACCTGGATGGATTCTTGGCCAGAGCCAGCATCATCCTTGATGAAACAGCCACCTCTTTGGATGATGTCCTTCGCGAGATGCTGAAACATTTTGCTGAAGACCCCGAGAACACGGAGCCAAGCTGTAACTTTGAAAAAATCATGAGCACTTTATTCACGGATTCAGGGACCCCACGAGAAGGGAATGGTAATCCATACTTGATTAGTTTCCAAATAACAGTTATTAGTCATCCTTTTCATTGGTGGCTAATGCATGCTTCCCAAATTTGCGTGTTGCATGCAATGCTGGGGGTTATTTTGGTCAGCTAGGCTGAAGGGCCTCATCTCCAAAGTTTTGTTTAAGTGGAGTTTTGTCCCTGTTTCATTTAGATGCATTAATGTTCTACTGAAGGAGAGGTCTCCAGCACTGGAATTTGCTGTCAGTTGGACAATCACATTTGGAGTGATTGTCCTTAGGAAAGTGTCAGATGTTCTTCTGCGGGGAGATGCTTTCTGGTGTCCCTTCAGAAGTGGCTCCTTTGCCTTGTGATTCTCCAACTGAATTCACACAGGCTGAGGAATTCTAAGTTGAACGAGCAGTTTTTTGGGGAAGGCTGAGCCTTCACATTGACCCTATTTCACTGGAAGAGGCTCATTGGTTTACTCTAGAAACTCAAAAGTGGGGTAGACGTAGAAACACTGGCTTAAGTGTCACCTTATCTACCAGTGAATGTCATAGCACAACCTAAAACACTGCCTTATAGCCCAAGGTGTAAAGAAGCTTAACTAAGCGTTGTTTCTCTGTAGGCATCCATGACGTTTCAGAGCCAACAGGAATGAATATACAAACATGTACATCGCACCTCAAATGTAACTGTCACAGCCTGAGTGAATTTATTTAACAGATATGTCAAGTTCTGAGCATGTAGTAAGCATGTTCATGCTTTGGTTACTTCTTGCTGCCTGTCTTAGTGCTTTGCATTTATATCTTGAATTTAGGCTTTCTGCCAATAAAGAAAAACTAAGCGGTGCTATCAAACGATCTGAGAGAACAATACTTGCAAAGAGGGGAGAGAGGGCATGGGAGTTGGAAGATGAAGTCTCTTTTAGTCCTGTGTGTGTTGAATAATGCTATTCTAATAACTTAATATCGTGGTAGAATGATGTTAGGGAGAAAACAGCTGCCTCTTCAAGCTGCAAATAGTTTAAGGCAGAATTCAAAGGCATCAATTCAAATGTTTCCACTTCTTCCTATTGTCATTCCCAATCCTTGCATCCATCCAGTATGCAACTAAATATGCTTGGTAATAGCATTTAGCTTCAGTTTGAAAGGAAATGTAATTTGTAGCTGCATGCTAATATGAACAAGCTTGTAACACTTCTTTCCTTCTCCCCTAGTTCACCTCTTATCAGATACAATTCAAGGGGTCACAGCGACAGTCACAGGGGTGCAGTATCAGCAGTCCTGGCTCTGTATCATGTAAGTACCTGGGTTGTTGATTATCAGAATATGCAGGTTGCTCAGAACTTGCAACTATTCCTACTGCAGAGAGGAATAGCAGTTGAGAATATGCTCTTTAAGTTGAAGTGGTGAGGCCTCCTCTGACCATCTGTCCTGACCTGGTGGGCTCTCTGAGATTGGGCTCATTTGCAAACGAATTGCAAGCAGCAGTTTGAGCAGAGATGACCATAGTCTCCACAAGGCATTACATTGCTGGATGCTGTCTAAATCTAGGGTTAATAAACAATGCTGAAAAAATTCAGAGCCCGGTTATTCTAATTATATTCTAATTACTACGGATGTTAATTAGGAGCTCTTGAAAAAAGGACAAATGAACTTGATCATGGACTACTTTTACTGCCAAAGTCTGTGACCTCGTACTAAAAGACTTCTTAAGCCCTTTGCAAACATCAAAACCTTGCAACTAGAAATTGAATTCAGAAATTCAGACACTATTCAGACACTGATTGTTTGCTGGCAATTAATTCAGACGCTGTCAACACTGCTAAACATTGAAGCAATTCCATAAGGCAGTAAGGGCTTTGTCACTTAGGATTTAGAAGCCAGGATGACTTCACCCCAGTTTTCACTTGACTGAAGCTGGGTTGCTTGGTTTTCTAATCATTGTCCCATAGTCAAGTGTGTAGAGTGAGCCAAGCTGTCCCTTCACGGAGAAATGCCAGAGTCTGAGTCACTGAGCCAACTGAAGCAATCTAACTTCAATCTCTCCGTTTCTGTATTCGTATGTAATCTCTAGTCAAGTTGTCACGAGATATCCAAGTCATTTATCTGGGAATGGGGTTAACCTGTGTTGTATATATGCCTACAGGCTCTCAAGGAGTACAAACATGTAGCAAAATTCACAACTGGTTTGTAGGACAGCTGTCACAATAGCTTTCCTTCTCCTACCAGTGTTTCTGCTTACAGCTGGAAGAAATGTAGGCTATTCTGCCTTGGAGATAGATGTTGTTTTTAATTTTTTAATCACTTACAAAAGAGAACTCCTGCATGTCAGAGGTGTCTGTCCTATGGAGCAAGTCAATTGGATGATGTCTGCACCATGTGTACTACTGTCAGCCTCTATTCTTATCCCTGGGATGCACAGAGTAGTTCTCTCAAGTGAGGAGATGAGTTCATATAGCAAAAATGGTCATTCTGTGGGTCAACATAGAGGGATTCTGAGCAGTTTGTTTCTGTGTTGCATACCACAGATATGACAGGGAATGTGCATGCAACTTTAGGGAGAGCAGAGGTGGGAGTTCCTACTATGGCATGTGATATGGCTCTGTGTAAAGCTTTAGAGAGCACTGACTTAACAAGGCACTTGTAGAGGTTATGATATGAATGCTGTGATGATATACACGAAGCTGAAAAGGGTAGGATCAGTATTTCTGTAGAAAGTGAGCCAGAAGTCTGAATATATCCATCTAAGTAATACTAGCTTCCATGACAAGACATGATCTGAAAAACAAGCTTACAGCCTGAAGGTGTCTTGTGCAAAACTTCCTTGTTTCTTCTTTTTGTTACTCTGAAGAGGGAGAAGAAAGTGGTGGGAAAGCAGTGATGAGTTATTAACTGTAATTATATAATTATTGCACTGTATTGCTGCTGTAGCTATTGTGCAATGGATTGAGAATGATATTTTTAGACCTTACGTTTTTCTTGAAGTCAGATTGCAAAACAACATTGCAAACTCTGAAGTAAAAGGAATTTGTTGATGGTTTTTTTTCCTGTGTGAGTGGGAAGAATCTAAGATAGCTTTCTACTGTTTTATACTGCACTTAAATTTAACAAAGAGTACAGATTTAAATTAGCTCTGCTGTTTTCTATGCACCTTAACTTTTTCTTCCTAGCAAATGAAAGGAGTTTGGGTATCATAATAAGATTATATTAATGAGGAGGAGCAGCTCAGAGCTTTAGTAGTACTTTTTCTCCTCAAATGCAATGCAGAAGTACAATGTCAAAATATTCCTGAAGAAAAAATGCTTTTTGGGATTTTCAATGGGTTCTGCAGAGCAGTATACTTCATGGACACACAAACTTGCTTCCATTTCTCCTCTTGTTGGGATGAGGGCGTGTTCTTTCCTTTCACTCAAACCTCAGGGAGTAGAGAGGTGGGGAAAACCTAGGGTAAAGTAGCTATTCTGCTTCTGCTGCAATTGATGCTCTCCTGGCAGCTTCAGGTCTGTTGATCCACTACCAAGGTCAGAAGTATTATCTGAGCCTGGGCCATGTCCATGGGACAGGATAAGCTGTTGAAACTGAAGATCTCAAGGTTTGAATGAAAAGAACTGACTTCCCATTCACAGTAGACTTCAGAGATTGATTTTATTTGAAGAATTATCTATGCCTGTTCTCACCACAGCCTTACCCAGGGTACGTGAGCACATGGAAACCTTGGGATTCCTTCATTAAAATGCTGTGTAGTTGAGAGCAATGCAGGGCTGCGTGCCCCACTAGCAAGTGATGCTCACCTGCAGAGAAGTGAAGATTGCTATGTATTTGTATATCATAAAACTGTAGAATGAATTGAGTTGGGAGGAACCCAACTCAAAGATTAATCAAAGATTGCCTGGTCCCAACTCTCCCCTGCCCAGGGTTGCCAACCACTAAATCAAGCACTAGGTCAGGCTGCCCAGTGCCCCATCCATCGTATTTAATTGGTCATTTGACATGAGGAAGCTCTGCTTTTAGTAGGAACTTGTGGAGACACTATGATAGTCTTCCAGGAAGCAATGATTGCAGCAGGTAGATGTACTGCTGGGAAGAAGCTCTGCTTTCTGTAGGAACCAGCTTAATTCACTGTGATCCAGAGTCTGAAAGAGGTAAAGTAGATGCTTTGCATGCCTAGATGGGGAAAAAGCCAATATAAGAGCTGTTGGTTTAGTCTTGCCAAACTTCATGGCTCAAAGTCAAAGAATAGTCCCCCTTTTCCAGCAGGCACTGTATGGAAAAGTGACTGATCACAACCACGTCTTATCAAGACCAATTACTACCATTATTGTGTGACAAGTAGAGATGTGAATGCCCAACATTTTTGATTCCTGGGATGAGATGTAGAACCTGTAATTCTAGAGGTATTGCAGTCACTGCCAGTTAACTGGTGTGCTGCATGAGAAATACCAGCTGATGCATTATTGAACAAATGCTCCCAGAGCAGAACTCCTCAGGCAGTACCACCTCCAGGCAATGCTCTTCTTGCAAGATGAATATAATTTCTGCTTTCCAGAATTGAAACCTTTAAAAAAAAAAAAAAATATGAAACCAGGGGGCTGCTTTGTAGTCTGCATTGAGTAAATGAAGAACTGTTTCCTTTGGTTGGTTTGGAATTTGGTTTGATTTGGCGTGCAGATTGGTGAAGGGCTTAATTTCAGTGCATTCAACTGATTTGCTAGAGCTGTTTGAACAGGTAAAGCTGGGGAAGAAGCCTCTCTGCAACTGAAGATGAAATGGCTTGCATCCCACATTGCTATAAAATTCTTTACTCTCATATAACCTTACTACAAAAATTCATATGAGGACAATTCAAAATACCAGGTAGCCTTTCAAAACTTAGCTTGAGGTTATTTTGGATATCAAACAAGGCAGCTATTGAACAGCTTAACTGGACTTTGAGTTCTGGATACAAGGACCTTTCCCCCAAACTTCAAAGCAGTCATCTTTAAGTGTTGCTTGGGTTCAAAGTAGTGATTTTTAATGTACCTATAGCTGCCCTCGTTGGTGTGTTAGAGTCAAAAGCATGCTGTGTTATTGAAGGGATTTGTAAAATCCAAACCCTTCGCTGGGAGTTTGAGTCTTGAAGGAGAGCTGTCGACAAGAACAACGACAAACCTTAGTGCCTACAAGTGTGTTCAGGGAGGAAGGGGTGGATTCTGCTGCGCTGTGCTGTAGGAAATGCTTTCTCCCTAACTCCCCTAGAGATGAACCACTAGAGAGGATGTGTCTTTCTAGAGCACAGTGCATTTGTCGCTCAGAAATAATACTCATCCTGGAGTGATTTTGCTCTGTACTTCCGAACCGTCCTAGTGCCAAACTAACTGCTGGTGAGCTGGCCTGCTGGTTTGCAGTTCCATTCCTCGCTTGTAAATTCTGCTTTTTGAAAGCCCTGTGCCTGGAGCTGCTTTGCCAATGATTTGTTTGCAGTGGATGAGAACAGGCAGTGTCACTATTGTTCTGCACTGGGACAGGAAAAGGTTGGCTAGCTGATTACCTCTACTGGGCATTTTTTCTTACTGCAGGGGATAATTTCTTTCTAAAATGACTTCCTTTCTTGCCCAGCTTAAAGATGCTTTTTGTTTCTCTTGGGTCTCCATAGTTTGACCCATTTTATGACTTCTCTGAGAGATATTATTAATCTGATAACATCTTGGGCATAGGGCAGAACTGTGGCATGTGTGACTTTGTGTGATTTTGGTGGAATGCTGCCAATTCTCACCATTCAAGTGCCACATTGGGTGCTGCAAGATATGCAGCCCGGAAGGAGGAGGGCAGCAAAGCAGGAATTTGTGCTATAATTCAAATGGCCTTTTTTTTATAAGCTCAATTATTGGAGAATAATGATGAAACTGCTGAGAATGCAACCTGGCATCTTGTTAAATCATAACCAAATGTTTCCTTATGTGAGTAATAATGGGTTGAAAATAGGTTTTTCTGCTTGTTGGCCAAACCAGAAGAGAATCACGTTTAGCTCAACTCAAACCAAAAAGCAACTTGGAGGCTTTGGCCAAACCATACTTGATTTAGTCAGCTGAAAATGTCTTGCCAGTCCTCAGGCTTCTGGAGGAGCTTTGGTTGTTTACTGTCCAAATATCTCTCTTTAAGTGGAAATTTACTCATGTGCTACTCAAGTGACTTTATTTTAGCCTGAACTGCACAGTTTCACTTATGAATTTGCACAGCTTAAGGTAGCTCCATGTGAACCAAATAGGCTTTATTTTCTTCACAAGTATTTGCACACTTCTAGAAAGGATTCCAGATTGGGTTCATTTTGTCTGGCTTACAGAATTAAAACAAGGAAGTGGGAACAGTAAGTGCTAGACAAAGAAACAGCTGGATTTCACTTGGGTAGCTTTGATTCTGGTTTTATTAAATCATTAAGGTTGGAAAACACATCTGAGATCATCAAGTCCAACCCCAACCCATCCTCACCATGCCCACTGACCACATCCCCAAGTGCCACATCTCCATGGTTCTTGAACACCTGCAGGGATGATGACACCAGCTCTTCCCTGGGCAGTCTGTTCCAATGCCTGACTGCTTTTTCCAGGATGAATTTTTCCTTAATATCTAACTTGAACCTCCTTTATTGCAACTTAAAGCACCTTTTGTCAAGCTCAAGCATCTTACTGCCAGTTGAGGGAGAAAAGCAGCTGTGACATTTAATCTGAAGAACAAGTAGCTGGCTTAATTATAGCCCTATATAGTATTTATTTCTTCAAATAACTTTATTGCAACATGATTTCACATATCATATCCAGGGAGGCAGGCATCCCACACACTTTTTCTCCTCAGGTAAGAGCAGAAATTCACTGGTGTTTTTTTTTTAGCAAGATTTCAGCTCCTGGATTTACTCAAATGTGGTGGAGCAGACAGACAGGTACTGCTGAGCAGCATTATTGGGAGGTAATGATAAGTTGCACTTATGTATCACTTGCAAATGTGTTCACAAGCATGCCTTGGTAACCTGCTCTACTTCTGGCAGTTGGCCATGTGCTGGTGTGATCAACCCTTGGCCTGTAGGAAGCTGTCTCTGGCAGTGCTATGGGCTTCAGTAGTTTCTTGAGATGCTGGGAGCTGCTTGATAGATGTGGTAAGGAAAGATTTGTTTGTAAAGTGTTGGTACAGCACTGTGAGCAATAGGTGTCTAGTATCTGTCTGTGGCCATTTCCAGAATGGATATAGAATCATTATGGTTGGGAAAAGCTGTACAAGATCAACAGGTCCATCTGTCAATTATGTACAAAATGTCCAGAAATCCATCCTTTCCAAAGCGTTTTTCAACTGAGGTCTGAAAATGCTGAGAAGAGGTCAAAAAAAGCTCATTTTTTTCTAGTGTGTGTTAACCATTCATTTTTTTGCACTTCTTCCAGTAGATGAAGGTGAGGTAAGAGGAATTAAGGTGTTGGGTCACTTGGTGGCTTTCCTTTTAGTGCAGAATTCATTCATTGGTTCTATTGGTTTCCTGAACTATGATAATCTTGTATGCTGTCCAGCTGCAGCAGGGTTGCTACTGAAGGCTTTTGTTTGCTTGTGAAAACTGGTGTTTATTTCTTCCTTGGAGAAGAAAGGTAAAAATGGCTGCAATTCTGAAGCTCCCCACTCTGAACTGCTGGTCTAGTGGAAAAAGGCTAACTTGCATTCTATTTCCATGACTTAAAGACTTGATGTTAAGACCTGTTTGGATTTTTTTAAATTATTTCTCTTCCCACCCCCTCTTCTCCCAAGGCTGCTTCGGATGATTTGACTAGGAAGAGGTTAAGAGGCCTTGGTAAAAGGGAAGTAGAAAATATGAAATACTGTCCTCATAGTCATAACCTATGTGATTACAATGAAGCTGTAGGGTTGCTTTAGGACAAGTGCCTTTCTGAGACTAATATCCATAGGTCACTTGACTTCCTGATGACAGATCAGAAGCAAACTCAGTATGGGGATATTTGCTGAGCTGACTTGGTATGCAAGTTATGAACTTCATGAAGAATGTAACATGCTTCTTACTAGTACATATCCAGCCAAGGATCTTCAGCTGCTATGACTGGGAACGACTATCAGGATGTGAAAACGTTAGAATATCTCTGAAAAGGAAAGATGGGCTGGTTTAATGGCAGAGAAATTAGAGGAAAGATGGTCTAAGGACTATGATATTGATCTTGCTGGACAAATCAAATGGAACAAGCAATGTGAGTGACTTCAAACCAGAAAAAAAAAAGTCACTGTTATGGGAAGTCATACTTTACTACTGATAGGCAGATACATCTCACTGTGCCTTCTAAAAGAGCTAGGAAGTAGTATGAGACTCTAAGTCTCTTTTACTTAATAATTAAGGAGAGCTGCAGTCTGGGCTGGTGATAACTTAAAAGCTGGCTTGGTACAGTTCATAGAAAAATAACAGCTGAGAGCAAAGAGGGAAAGCCATTCAAACAGATCTGCCCAAGGCAAAAGAGGTGGAAGCATTTGGCATCTTGCCTTCGTGTCTCCAAAAGCATTTTAGAAGATTGGATCAAATTAGGTGTGAACTGTTTGTTTAATGTAGGTGTTGGATTTTTTGAGGGCTACTTTGCAAGAGTTTCTGTAGTACTACAAATAAAAGGTACATTGCTATCTTTGTTGTTGTTGTTATTAGAAAGCAGATGGAAGAGGGAGAATTGTGTTCAGTGTGCTTTGTAGTGCTGTGTATAACCACGCCATCTTTCCCCACAGTTGCACTATAAAGTCCCTTCAGCGACGTCACGTTTGCATCAGTCGCCTTGAGAGGCCTCAGAACTGGGGTGAGAACTCCTGTGAAGTCAGATTTGTGATATTAGTCCTGGCACCTCCTAAAATGGTGAGTATTCATAGAATCATAGAATGGTTTGAGTTAGAAGGGACCTTTTAAGATCACCTAGTTCCAATCCCCTGCTATAGGCAGGGATACATCCCACTGGACCAGGTTGCTCACAACCCCATCCAGCCTGGTCTTAAATGCCTTCCAGTGCCTCACCACCCTCACAGTAAAGAATTTCTTCCTAATATCTAGTGTAAATCTACCCTCTTCCAGTTTAAAACCGTTTCCCCTCATCCTGTTGCTACGTGCCCTTATAAAATGTCCTTCCCCAGCTTTCCTGTAGGCACCCTGCAGAAATGCTGCAATAAGTTCTTTTCCAGGCTGAAGAGTCCCAGTTCTCTCAGCCTGTCCTCATAGGAAAGCTGCTCCATCTCTTCAATCATCTTCATGATATCTGACTATTTCTCTTCATTTTCTTAAGAGGATTCTCCCAATGTCATTTTTTCTCTCTTTCTGTAAAATCAATGGCAGTGCATTATTTTTAAGGCAAATGGGGCACCAAAAAGACTGAGGTTTTCCATGCTGTTGCCCAGACTGTTTATTCCAGACAGTGTACATGTGGAATAGGAGTCCTGTGGAAGGTCAGATTATGCTGAGGTGTTCTGAAAAGCGTTTCCTTAGCTTTCCGTACTTGAAATAGCAAGGTTAAAGTTTGCTTGGGTGTGCTTAGTGGTTCTGTGTTGCAGACATGCTGAACTAATAACCTGTTAATGTGCTCATTTATTACAATATTGGGGGAAGACATCAAGGTCAATTGGGAATCAGCATCTTCCCTTCCTAGAAAGCACTGGCTTAATCAAATCAGTGTGTCCTGTGAACTAATGATTGAAAGGTTCAAAGCTAAAGACTTTTTCATGCTTAAGCTGGCTGTTCACACCTTGGGGTTACTAGGTCTGTGCTCCTGAGAGGTACTGGGGAAGTTTGGGACCTTGTTTGGAACAGGACAAATCCAGATCCAGTTTCCTGCCTTTCAGTGCTATCTGAGTGACCCTGGGACCTTCTGGTCTGATTTGTCTCCTGTGCATCCACCATCACCCTTGTTTAAATGGTGTTTTATATGGAAATAATGGTGTTTCCTCATTTCTGATGGGTCTTTCCCAACTGAGCAGTTCAATACGTTTGGCATTGATCTCAAGCCCAGCATGCTGAAAACATATTGATGTTCCCTATGAGAAACAGCAGGCAAAATCTGAACCTGCTCACAATTGCATTGATCTTTCAATGTGTGGCAGTGAGCTTATCTCCAGCCAACTACGTGCAAAGCGCCAAACAAGCAGCTCCGCATCCGCTCATATCCTGAAAGTTTGCAGTTCCAATGGACAGCATCAAATTAAGGAAAGGGAGGAGACGCCAAGCAGAACCACGGTTGCCAATGTGCTTTATTTTAAATCATTGTATCTAGCCAGCTCTAAGTACGCATTTCTGGTACAGCAGTTAAAATAATTAACCTGCTGACATTAACAGATTAAATGAGCCTTGCTTGGGGAGGGGGAGAAAAAGCCCAGAGAGTGAGCATCTGTTGTACTAAGGAACCCAGATCCTTGTCCTTCTCTAATATGTAGGATGAAAAGACTCGAGTGCTCACAGAGCAAAGTGAGGATGAGAGGTAATAGGCTTAAGTTGTACTTGGGATGATGTCCAGGTTGGATATTAGGAAAAAAACTCTTCTGGCACTGGCACAGCTGCCCAGGGAAGTGATAGGGTCACTGTCCCTGGAGATGTGGCACAGAGGGGTATGGTCAGTGGGTATGGAAGGATGGGTTGGGCTTGGGGATCTGAGGAGTCTTTTCCAGCCATAATGATTCTATGAGTGCCAAAGCAAGTATAGTGTTAGTAATGATAGGACTAGTGTAGTGCTACCTGCATTTCCACACCTCTGCACTGAGCAGCACGGAATTGCTTGTGAATAAATTGTTCATCTACTTCATGAATAACGATAACTGATTTAGATTAATCACGCTTGCCACTACTTCTGACAGTAATGCAAGGAGTTGGAGAAATATGTCTAAAAGAAGGTGGTTGTTTGGGTATCTCAAGCAAAGGCTGCATTATGGCTGTTGAATATAGTTGAGAGAAGTGGGGGTTAAAACATTTCATCAAAAAGAAGCTCTTGAGGAGCTCTGATTCTGTGTAACTTGGTAGGTAATTTGCCTGCCTTGACCGAAGTACACAAGCAGTTTAGCAGATCAGTTTGCAGAGCCTGAATTTAGTGGGTTTGTGTGGGGATGAGGAGCTCAGTCTCCTTTACTGTTTCCTTCATGTCTAATTTCCAAAGTGCTTGGAGCAACAGGAGAGCAGGCTTTGGATACCATTAAAGCTCATCTCTCAAAGACCAGATCTGTGACTCACAGAAATGTTGGACTGATTAGATACTCTCCTTTTTCATTATTTCAGGCCTTTTGTCCCTTCCAGGTATTTGGTGAAGATGAACCCTGCTGCCTGTGGTGCTCAACTGCTTTTCTCCTCTGTTTTTCTCCATTCCAGTAGTTGCTTGAGCTGAGAGCCCTAAATCTGTTCTTATGTTGCTGGGATTGCTGCAAAGAAGCCAAACAAATTGAGTTTTAGTGCCCAGAAATTAAGAAGCTGATCGTGCTTATGTGTACAGCTGTCTGTCTCCAAGAAAAGACATCTCAACCTGCAGGAGCCTTCAATGTCCTTCCACCCTGGTGGTAGTAAGGCTGAGATACCTTAGGGCTAGCAAAGACCCTTATTTAGCTTCCTCAGCCTTGAAGGGAAGGTGAGGGGATAAGATAAATGCTCAGTTTGATTCAGATTTGGTTCAGGTCAGTCAAGACAGACTGATGTGTATTTCTGGTCAGGGCCTAGACATTGGTTGGTGTGTCTGAGGGAGTGTGCCACTTTCCACTGGGTGTCTCTGGGATATGGTGCCCAGTGGGGCAAATCAGCAGCTTTACCTTCTGGAACTGAAAGAAAATAGCTTTTAAGTATTTCTTTCTCTTTTTAATTCAGAAAAGTACCAAAACAGCCACAGAAGTGGGCCGAACCTTTGCCACGATGTTTTCGGATATAACCTTCCGGCAGAAACTGCTAGAAACCAAAACTGAAGAGGAGTTCAAGGAAGCCTTAGTCCACCAACGCCACTTGTTGACGGTGGTGAATCAGAGACCCTCAGCAATGAGCGATGGGCACATGCCACATGGTCCTAAGCCACTCAAGGTAAGGCTGGCCAACATCTCCAACTGTCCTCCCACTGCTTTGGTGTCAAAATGAATAAATGCAAGGGTTTTCAGGACAGGAGACGAAGCGTTTGTGGTGCTTGCATCCATCAGACTTTCCTAGAGATCCCTCAGGACTGAGGTTGCTATAAATGTTTCCAGTATGCTTGTCTACCTTCCTCAGCTCCTGCTGTAAATCTCAAGAAAACACTTCAAAGATGCAGGTGCTGAGGGGATGCAGAACAGTAGGGGGTTGAAATGGTTACAGGATTTTGAATCCAGATGCTTAGTTGTGGATGGGATTAATGGATCGCTGTGTGCTGTCAGTCCAAGGTACTTAATCCTTACAATCAGAAGTCTCTGAAGAAGCTGCTGCTTGTCTTTCCTGCAGCCAAAAGACTTCTTGGCTGTCCCAGCTCAGTAATTTCACTTAAAAGTTGCCTGTCAGTTCTTGGCCTGACTTCCCACTGTTTGATCTGTAGCTCTGTAAAATGTTACTTGCTTTGTACTCTAAAGTTCGAGGGAAATGCTGTAACTCCACTTTCTTTTCTGGAATTTCCTGTGTATTGGTCACTGCTTTGCTTTTCCGTTCAGAAATTCATTCTTTAACCAAGCAGCATACCTGAAAAACAAACTGTATCATCCCTAGCCTGCTGTTCCTGTCCTTGAATTGCAAATAACCTTGAAGCTTTGGGTTGCCTCTAGTGCAGAGGCTGGTTAACATATAACTTCTTAAAATGAACTAGACTTTTAAGGGGCTTTGACCTGCACATCTGGGAATGAGTAACTCTCTTTTTCCAGCATAATCCCCTTGCTTTGAGGTAGCACTTAACTTTGGTAGACACCGTACCTGCCCTTAAGTTTGCAGGACAAGTCCTGCAATACTCTCAAGCACAGGTCATTCAGAGTGGTGGTTTTGTAGGAAAAATTGCAGAAAAGTAAGCTTGAGTCTTTGCATATGGCCTTCCAAAGATGGTGCTGGTAGAGAATTTGAGGAGTCCAACTTTGTACGCACAGGAGAAATTAAGTCTTCTAAGAGCAGCCTATTTAAAATGTGGAGGCATTTCTGCTCTGGTTTGGTGAGCAGAAGGGCTGGATGCAATGTTTGTGAGCCCAAAGTGGTGGTTTCTGCCTGCATTGCTGGGCCTGCATCCATGGCCAGGCAGAGCTTCCACAGCTCTGAGCTGGTACAGGGAAAGTGATGCTTGTTGCTTTAACACTTACTCTTGGCATTGATTGCTCTTAGTCTGATTTTGTAATTCATTGCTTTTAGAGGTGTTCTAGCTCCCCAGGAATGCAGACTGTGCAATAGTAATTCTGCTTTCTCATGTCTCTTGAAAGAAGCTGCCCTTGCCTGAAATGGGACTCTCCAGCATTGATTTTTGGGAGATAGGCTTTGGAACCCTTCCCATATCCCTGGCAGGCAAAGCTTTGGAGAAGTGAGGTTGAGTTGAGGTTGTAGCCTGTGTTCATCAGTTCTAATGAAAGCCTTATGCAGAAGCCTTCTCCTATCAGCTCTGTATGATAGTCCTTTAGAAAGGAACCACTTAATATGAGAACAAGCTCATATGAGACCAAGGGTGTAATTTCAACCTGTGAACCTCCCCTGACTGAAATAAATACCCTAATCTGGAGCTGCTTCTAATAGCAAGCGAGCCCAAGGGAGGGTGAGGTCCTGATGGCATAAGAATCTGCTTCCTAACTCCCTTTTTCTCTTGATCTTGTAGTGATGGAGGAGAAATGGGGTTTTAGGGTGTTGATGGAGGGAGCAGGAGCACAATTAATCTTTTCTTCTATCCTTTATAGTACTGGCGTAGAGAAATAGACTAACTCAAATGATGGTAGTTTGTGAAAGAGGCATGGAAGGGGTTGTAGAATGGAAGGTAGAAAGCTGTGAGATTGCTGTGTGGATCCAGCAAAAATGGAAGAAAAATGGAATGTAAAAAAAAGCTTTCTGGATAAGGCCACCTAGGATTGGTATGTCATGCCAAAAAGATGATAGGGGCTGTGAGAGAGCTGCCACCATGAATGGAAGTGAAAAAGAGGTCCAAGCAAACTCTTCCCACTAATAGGGAAAGAAGCAATGAATGGCAACCTAAGAGATCACCAGCTCTTTAGGGTGTGAGGGAGCAACTCAAAGAAGGAGAATGAAGTAAATGAAGTGCCAGCATTGTCCTTAACATATATGTTTTTAACTCTTGGGAGGCTAAAACTCAGAAGAGTTGAGTGTTAAGTTAGAGTAAGAGGAAGGTAAGAGGAGGATAACTTTTTACAGGATAAACAATGTTCCCCATATTTAGCCACAGATTTGATGTCAGTGGTCTCTATAGAAACAGCACTGAGGTTTAGCTTGACATCCTCACTCCAAGCCAAACTTGCCCACAGGCAAGAAATAAATGCGTAAGAAGGGTTCAAAGGTCTCAAACATAACCTGCTGCCTTACCTTTTCTCAAATTTGCCTCAGTGTGCCTTATGGGACACTAAGATCAGTACATTTTTGTGTCCCCTGCTTCCTACAAGCAGGCAGCTTGCATGAGCAACCCCATCCTGCTCAGCCTCAGGCAAGCAGTGAGTGTGTGGCTTCTTCCCCTCAAAGGTGAGCTGCTCTGAGCATCCTTTTCCCATAGTCACTGCAGTGAGACAAGTAAACATATTAGTCATTAAAGCCATTGTGATTGTCTGGCTGACTTGTGCCTTTAGGAATGTCTTTCTGGGGGGAGAAATTAAATTGCTTTTTAAGTGCATGTGGCTTTGATGTCCAAATATGCCTGTTGATTTGAGTTCATAGTTGTTTTTTTTCCCAGAAATACTTAAAATGCAGATATGTTATGCCATTTGTTTTCCTTTCTTCCTGGTTGTTCATTGCAGAGAGCTGAAACTCTCTACAAGTACTGGAGGTATATTGGCAAAATGCAACAGAATTGACTTACTTGGGATGTAAGGTGTGATAATGACTGATAAAGGAGTTAGAGCTTTGAGAGATCTTTTGCACTTGAAAAACCCTTAGTGTTTGATGTGCTATGGTGTGTTCCCTTTGTAAGAGACATTTTCTTATTCTGTTTGATGTTGTGACATGACTGAATTTCCAGGTACTGCAAGGCAGGTAAGAAAAAGCAAAGCTGTGTGTCTGTTAAGAGAGCAGGGCAAGGTCAGTCCTTTCCATAGCAATAGCTTCCATCCATTTCTACATAAAACAGCCAAACGTTTAGAAAGATGACCTCTGTGCTGGTTTAAGATGGTCCGCTAATATAGAATTCATCTGTGACTTTCTTCTCCCTTTACACTTCCTTAGCAATGTCCCTGGTTCTGCAGGAAACATGCAGTGTTTTTCATGAGGCAGTTGGGATAATTAGCACCATATTAGGCTGCATTTTCTTTCTGGAATAGCATGTTGAGTTGAGGATAACAGGGGAAAGAAAGCATTGTCTATATAGATGCTTTCCATGTGCTTTTCTTAATGATGTAGTTGAGAACGGGGAGGCTGTAAGTCAATAACAGCTGTCTTTTATTTCTATAAAGCTCCTTGTTGCTGGTATTATGCTTCAGTTCATATAAACAAGCGTATTGCACCTTGCAGGCCCTCAGAGCACAAGTTCAAGGGAATATGTCAGGTTTCTGTAAGCATTTCAGTGATCTTACTGGTTTTTAATAGACAGGAACTACTGTTTGTGTGAAGTTAATTCAGCCTGTTCCCTTTGAGCTGAGTTGGGGATGTAGACAGTCTTAGTTCCCAGAATATACCAGTTTGAGATGTTCTTTTGTGGCCATGCTAAGGGAAGGAGCATTTTGTGCAGACCCTCTTACACATCTTTCACATGGCTTTTGGGAAGAATTTGCTGGTGGGATATATCAACAAGTTGTCTGGAGCAGTGGGGGAGGGCTCCTTATCTTCATGTTTATCATATGGGTACCCAGATGTTATCCCTATGCCCTGAGGTCTAATCCAACTGTTGGCCAAGGAGTGTCTTTGGCAGGTCTCTTACATGCTGTGCATCAGCTCCCTCATCTACAAAGCAGGGACGTGGATATGAATAGGAGGAGAAAGAGGGAAGGAAGGGAGGAAAATAGGGTGGTCTGGGGGATTTTTCTCTTACAATGCTTTTCAAGATGTAGTTTGAAGAGTGAAGGGTCTATTTTTATTATCATTACGAAATCCAATTTGAATGCCCTATTCAAAATGACCAGCGTTGCTCCTATCAGTATTGAATAAGGAGGTTAATCTCTTTGACAATACACGAGCCTTAAACTGACACAGCACTTCCTTCCTTTCTTCAGCTGCACGAGTTTCTCAATGTTGGCAAGGGGATTTTTGATGACATTGCACGAAGATTTCCAGTGTACGCGTTGGACTTCACTGATGGTATGTTGGCCAGTATTTATGGAAACGTTGGCCCGACTTTTGAATTTGTGATATGATGTCCTGTTTACAGTGTGCATTGAATATGTTCTTTGATATGTGTAATAGCTCTCTTATTTCTGATTTAAACAAGTATGTTGACTAAAGCCTATAATAGGCAGCAGCGCACATTGTAGATGAGAAGCTTGCACTATTCCCTTAATGAAGATGATAGCTGTATGTAGATGAGAATTTTAATTCTTATTAAGCTATGAGGCGATTAAGTAGATTGATTATTGTTGTGTGCAAACACAGTTCAACTCACTGCAACCTAATTAGCCAGCAGTGGCCTAGTAGACCCTTTTTGCTGTCCTTGCAAGCCAGCATCAACAGTAATTATGGTGATGCAGTGGGAGTAGAGAGTGCTTAAACAAAACCTGAGCTGCAGTAACTTCAGCTCTGTGCCTATTAAAAACAGGATATAGCTTGTCTTCTGTAGTCAGATCATAGAAGCATTAATATGGTGTTTATAGTGAACCTCAGGTGTGGGGCACTGTGTAGTTCCCACAATAGCAGTGTTGCTTTTCAGAGTTTTCTCCCCTTTCTATTTGTGGGCTTTTACTTCCAGAGGTTCTTCAGAGCCATGAAAAGTCTTCAGAGCAAACCATAACTTCAGAGCCTCTGCCTGACATCAAAGCTTGTTCAGTTCCTTACAGCTCTTGGGGGACTTTATTAATAATTCAATAATCTGGAATCAACCCCCAAAAAGTTTGCATAAAAAAAATGTAGAGTGTAGTCAAGGAGAATCTGGGAGATCATCAAATGCCCTTCTGCTATTAAATTCTCTTTAGCCCAAGGCACAGTTGTCCCAGTACACTCCCTGCATTGCCCTTTTGCAGGTGGCATAAGACAAGGTGCATACACAAACGTCTTGCAGTTGGTGGCACCCATTCTGTTGTAAAGAATGAAATGGAATTTGCTGCCACTTAATATCGTGGTTGTGCTTGGATGCTCTTTACAAGAGCTTTGTAACTGCTGGAATGGAACTGTTTCTGTGAGGCCTAAGATAAACAGAGGGCGGCTCTATGTGAAGTCAAGCTTAGGCTATGTTTTTATGGGGATTGAGGGCATATTGGGAAGGAAGAGTGTTAAGAAATTGTTTCAGCAAGGAGCCTGATGAAAAACACAAACATGATTTCTTGGCTAGCAGCACTAGCATCAGATCTGTTAGAGGACATGAGCTCCTAATTTGTACACCCCTGAAATGGTTTCAGGATGCTTTGTCTCCATGGCTATTGCTTTGTAGGGCTTCCAGATTCCAACTGATCATTGGGAAGGGAAGTGAATAAGGATCTTGCAGCACAGAGAAGCATCCTTTTAGGAATGCTGAGACTTAGCTGCAGCTACTTGCCGTACTTACAGCTGTCCATATCCTGAGTGTGCAACAGGTTAACAGGCAGAAGTGGGTTGTGTGATGGTCATGTAGCCAACAGGCTGACAGCAGGTTTGGGAATCCATTTTTGGGTTCATGTTGTTGCTTTGCATGCATCCAAAGTAACTATTCTGCTTCTCAGTCTTGACCCTCCCAACTATAGCCAAGTTGGCAAGCTTTTTGCACACCAATGTATGCAGTAGATCCAGTTTGTGCTAGACAAGATGCTGGGGTTGACTGCCTTGGGTGCGCCGTTCATTTGGCTGCCTCTGAAGTACTGTCATGGTGAGAATGCAGCATTGCAAGTACTGCAGAGAATTGTTCTGGTATAAAATGTAAATATAGCACATAGTCATTTATCATGTTATACAGCTCTTGGAGAGAAAAGATGCCAAAGTGAGCTGAGCTGAACTTAAGAACTACTTCAGCTCAAAAGTGAAGCTCACCTTAGAAGGTGTCATGCTCTTTTTCATGTATAATACAGGGAAGGGAGGAGAATTTCTAAAAGCCTGGAAGTATTTCTATGTGCTACTTCCCAGAAACTGGAAATTAAGATAAATTCTTTAAAAAAGATCTCTGTGGAATGAAAACCAGATGGAGTAGAAAGTATCTGCCATAAACCACCAAGACCGAAGGTGATCAACAATGTGAAATTCCTGGACCATCTCAAAGCAGCAGTGCACCAAAACGTTAGGGATTTGAGCTATCCAAATATCTGTACTCCAGGCAATCACACGTGCATCATCAAAGAACTCTGAATAGCAAAGATGCCTCTTTGCTGAATGGTTGGAATCTAAATCCTTAATTTGAGAAGCATCCTGGGATTTTGGTTGAGGTAGATAAACCGATTAAGAACTGAGTAATAAATAAGGCTTTTGTAGGTATTTTGTCAGTTGGACTTTTTTGTGTGATTGATCTTATTCACATGCTGTAGAAAGCTGGCCTTTAAATTATCCTTAGCTATTGTGATGTGGGAGAGAGCAGAAAGGAGTCTTTTTTTAGTTTCCCTCAGATTAGGAATTAGTCAAGTTTAAATTTGCTTTGGATTGTGGAAGTCTTAAATGTCTGAACATGCAGAGAACAAAGAGCTTTCTGAAGATTTTCTCCAGAACTGATGGTACAAGTAGTACCATCAGTTTACTTGTAGTAAACAGATTTTGGTGGGAGCATCTGAAGATAAAAATGTGATTATGCTGAGCCTAGGAAAGGAAAACATGTGATTTTTGACTAAAGCTTAGCTTTAAAGGAAATTTTGTGTAGTCTTTTCTTAATGACTGCATTTGTTTGCTCTTTCTTTTTTGAAGCAAAACTTGTACAGAACTTCCTCCTGATCTTATCATAGAATCAAAAGGTTGGAAATGACCTGCGAGATCATCTAGTCCAGCCGCCTTCCCATTTCTATTAGTACCACAAGCAAACTGTTGTCTTGTCAACAGTTTCAAAACACTTGTGCTACCAATTATTTATTACTCTAAAATTCAATCGAAGCTTAGTAGCTTCTTGAAACTTTTGAATTTTGAGGCTGGTTTGAATGGAAGAAGGGACTCCCAGAAGGTGCCTGGACTCAGCTACAAGTTCCTTGCCACCCCTTGAAGACCCTACTCTTATTCCTTGGCTTGTATTTCCTGGTACAACACGGAGGAATTAAAACAATGCACGGAGTGCTTGGAGAAACTTGAGGTGTCTGAAGCTCTTAAGATGAACTTCAGTGCCAGATTCTGCTGTATCCCTTCACCTCTCAGGGAAGAAATAGAAAACATAAGGGTGAGGTTTATTATAAGGTTGTGTTTGCACCTAATGCAATGATGGGTGAAGAGTTGGCTGGATCTATTGACTTCTCCCTGTCCTTGGTCCTGCAGCGGTCCCTAATCAGTTCCTGTGAGCTCCTCTGCCAGTGACATCTTCAGGAGTTGGTGGCATTTGTACATATTATTTGTTTATTCGCTGTTCCCCAGTATGAGCGTATTCTTGGCTTCTCTGCCCCAAGATCAGCTGGATCTACTTTTCTAGTTCTTTGTCTTGCTTGTTGTAATGTGATTTACTCTTTGTTGGACTTAGGGAAGATTCATTTTCTGTGTGTCCTTAGGAAGTTGGGTAGAGTCCAGCAGCTGCTAACAGAAGTAAAAACCCAGCTTGAGGGCTTTAGCAGATTTTTATAATGTTTTGCCTTTTCGTGGCTTAATACATGGAAGGCTATAGATAGTGTTAACATTAGCTTCTAACCATTGAAAGGTATTTCTTTTGTCAAGGTTTTAATAGACATATCCTTGCTGCTGTGATGCAAATTGGTTTAATTAAGCCTACTTTGCATTAGATATTTCGGAGAATTGGAAAGGAACTTCAGTTGTCAGATGAATCATGGACTGTCCATCTCAAGTTGGATTCGGTAAATGTACAATTAGTAGACGTAAGGAGCTTCAGTGCCAGCCCCTGGACCTGTAAGTCTTAAAATTACTGTTCCAGAATACCAGGCAAAGTGAGGCCAACAATGTGGTATTCTCTGAAATTCTAACCTTGTCGTTTTGAAAGAAAGTCACTTCTTAAATTCAAGCAAGTAAAATAGAACTGTCATGTTGATGAACATAATCACTTCCCCTTTCAATGTGTAGATGTACCTTAATTTCAGGGGATTGCTTCAGTAGTAGTTAATTACTCAAATTTCACAGCTGAACTAAGTTGACTTTTGGCTACAAATTGATGTGTTGCAGTTGGAGTGACACATTTTTCAATGGCTTTATGAGCCTGCTGCAGGTGAAATGCTGTCGTAACGCAGCCCACCTTTTTAGAAATGAAGTAATAACAGTCTCCAGATTGCTAATAAACCCTGAAAATATGTAGCCAGATGTTGATTTCAAAAAGGTAAAAGGCAAATTGTGACTAATGCTGGAATTTAGTGCTTGTCTCAGTGGAGTCTGTACAAGGAGAAGGTACTTGCTCATGATTTTAACTGCAAGTAGGGAGTGATTGATAATATTTATGAAAGGGTACGTTGAGTTTGATGTAGTTATCTCCATTATGAACTGAATTTTTCTGCCACCGGAAGGGTTTCTTTGCTCTTTGGATCTCCTGTGACTGAAAATGGTCTAAAAGCTTGCTTCTGCTGGGAATCTTGGATTCAACCATAACAGTGCTTAAGGATCTCTGTGATCAGCAAAGACTCCCGCTCTAACACTTGCTTGCAAAGCAAGGCTGAAGCCAAAAGCCATGCATAAGTTTTAAGATGCCCTTCAAGGCTGCTTCTTTCCACCTGCTTACACCGTGGTTTTATTTAACTGAGATTTTAGAACCTCACCACTTACAAACATTTCTATGTTTAGAAAATGAGGCTTTTCTTTCATTTGTTGTTTCTCTGTCCTTTTATGAATGCAAAGCTTTCAAGAACTGCTGCTTCTGATCTTTCACGTTGGAAAGACTCCTTTGTCCAAAGAAACCTGTGTTCTGGAGCCACGTTGTTCTCAGAGCAAGGAGTGACAATCTCTACTTGTAAAACTAATGTTTAGTCTCCTCTTTGCCTTGTGGAACCTTTCATCCTTTCTAAAGGTCTCCGGCGCTTGGGAGTGTTAGGTGGGAGCCTGTAGCTGTTTAACTTGATCACATGAGAACACTTTATCTGGAAAAAGGACGTTTTAGGCCCTGTGGTTGCCAAGAGTGGTCAGGAATGTGGTCTGTGGTTTCTGAATCTTCACAATAAACTGAAAAGAATCTGCTCTGAAACAGCTGGTCCCATGACTCTTGGAAGGTCAGGCTTATATTTGCATGCTTGAGATGTCTCCTGTCAAGTTTCAGCTCTCCCTGTTTTCTTATTACTTTTTTAAGGATGCTATTTGTGTCTACTTCTCAGGTCTGCAAACGGGAGCCTTCACAAGGTGTCCTTTATTCATATGGCTGCTTGATCATTACGCATCTCTTTTTTTGGCTTTTGCATCCTCCTTCTGTCTTTATCTCTGCACTGCAAGTGGTGCACAAAACAGATGTTAGATAAGGATCTGGAAGTCATCAAGTGATTGACATCAAGTGAAAAGCAATCAGTTGTGGCAGTGCCCTGATTTTCTCTGGGACACCAACAGCCTCAGATGCAAAACACTGTTCTCAGATTCAACTCTTGTGCTAGTAGCTTCCTTTGGCAAGAGCCTGATGGTAGCAGAGGCTTAGATGGGCATTTGGGAGCTTGGGGGCAGGTGGGTGGGAGCTCCTTACTCGTGTGGTTTCCACAAAAGGGAAAATGGATGGCTCCAAATCTGCCCAAGTGTTTCAGCAGAGGCATCACTGAGAATGGTGGCACAGGCAGACTGAAGGCTAAGTGTTGTTTTTTTTTATTTTGGAGGAAATTCTTTCTGCCATAACCATTCTGAGGCTGCTCAATGCAAAACAAAACAAAAACTCACAAAAACTTATGCTCTTCTTGAGCAATGTCAGCTGTTGTCATCTTGTATCCTTTCCCTCAGGGGTGATATGAGCTCACTGGGGATGGACATCAGCCTGAAAACAGGAAAGGGAAGGGAAGCTACTTCAGAGGCCCTTAAATTCATGTTATGACACTTTAATTCTCGTTCTGGCTGCTTTTGTTACAGCCCGATGTGTTTTTTCCGATGGGGATGAGAAGGGGTGAGTGGCTGGAAAAGAAGCCATTCTTTCAGAAGGGCTTTTTTTAAAGCAAAACTCTTTTAATGTACGCATTCCTGACCTCTTGTGCTATTTGTTTTGATAAGTCTGCTAGCACTAATTGGCTCAGAAAAGCACATTATTGATTCAAACCTTATAATCTCAGATTTCTACCTAGGGAAAAATGAAGTGCTTCATGTTTTCCTGCCCTGAGCGTTGTGAGTTGCAATGGCGAGCGATCATCATGAAGCTTGTTAAGGGCATAGCACAGAATACCTATGAAGTTGGTATTAAAAAGGCAGGAGGTGGAGATTTATGAACCCTAAGATTCTGACTTCTGCTTTGATCCCTTTGTGAGCTTCTTAAACTGGCAAAACTGAACAAGCAGCTCCCAGGATTTCCTGTTTTGGTGATGCCAGAAGTGCCAGCTGAAGCAGCCTGCATTGTGGTGCTGTTGGTAGTACTTGTTCTGGTGCTAAGTGCACAGGAATGCAGTTGTGCAAAATCAAGTGCCAAAGACTGCCTATATTTTTAGACTCAAGATTACATTTCCCCTGGTGTGTCTCAGTATTAAAAGATCTAATGGCACATATACCTTTTCTCAACAAGGTTTCGATGATTTCCAAGTGTGCAGCACTAACAACTTTTTGGGTTTACGCTAGGTATTATTGGAAACAACAAGGCTATAGGAAAATACATCACAACTATGATCTTTCTGTATTTTGCCTGCCTCCTTCCATCTATTGCTTTTGGGTCCCTCAATGATGAAAACACCCGAGGAGCTATTGGTAAGTTTATCCCCTTTCTATCTCTTTAGGATCCCATGTGTTCAAGTTGGGTAGCACTAATCACTCAGTTTTTATAGTTTTTTTTGCTGAATAAAGCATTGCTGAGTGATCTTAAGTTCATGATCAGCTAGAATTATACCCTTGTTTTATTAAATAACACTTGCTTTCTAACTATGCAGTGTACTGCATGTACGTTTTCCCCAGGCAAGCTGCTGGATTTTAATCCAAACTTGATTAGCAGTGTCCAAAATGCTGATACAGTGGCAGATGTGGTGTTCTGTCCCAGTTTTGTCCCTGAAGCAGTTCATAAGATTTAGTTAAAATTCTGTCCCAAAGGTCTTCTGGATGAAACTTGTTGACATCCTAAATTATTACACTGTTAGACTTGATGATCTTTGTAGGTCCCACACTTGGCTATTCAGTTATACTAGTTTGCCAGCATAGGGTCACTTCATGCTTTCACAACGTCTCATCTCTGTGTTCTAACTATTCCTTTTATTCATCAGTGAGTGTCTGCTCAGAATTCTTTGGTTACAGGAAAAAATGTTTCTTTCCTTCCTTCCCAATTACTCATAGATGTGCAGAAGACAATTGTTGGCCAGTGTATTGGAGGGCTGCTTTATGCACTCTTTTCGGGGCAACCTCTCGTCGTTCTCCTGACTACAGCTCCTTTAGCACTCTACATTAATGGTAAGCCTGTTAAACGTGTACACTGGGGGCTCATTTGCTTAAGATCAGTGAGAAGTGACTCAGTGTGAGAATCTTGCAACCCTACTAGAGTTCTAGTTGCATTTCTTCTTCTGAAGTCAATTTTAAAGGGCTGCATTTGGTGCTGAGAGGAGAAGCTTGATGCATGTTTAGTTAAAGAGACTTGGTTTTAATGGAACAATCCAGGGAAAAGAAAAAGTCATGAGAATAAACATTTGTGCTTCAAGGGAGAAATCTTTTTATCTGGCTATTTTCTCATGGAGCTGCATTTCACCACCTCGAGGATAAGAGCAATGAGGGATCTTTATCACTTTGATACGATGTGATAAGTAGCTTTCCAGTTACAGCTGGGAGATTATACTACTGAGCCAGAGATGAAAAAGAGCAAACTCAATCAGTATCTCTAGAAACAACTGAATGGTCTTCAATTAAGTTGGAAAGTTTTAGTCTGCAGTGCACTAACAGTAAACGTGGTCCAAAAACATGCATGCATGAGATCTTTTTCTCAACAGCACCTGAGTTTTGCCATAAAGAGCAAATTGTAAGGAGGGTTTTGTGGCCTTAATATATAGGAAGGATGTTTTGAGTAGTGTGGGAGAATGTTTTCCAAATTTTTTTTGCCCTATTTCTAGTGGTTAGGGGGGAGGAGAAAAAAAACAAAAAACTGATCCAATGCTTGTACAGGGAGTATAAGAACAGATTTAATGGTGTCTTGCTATAGGTGTGGTTGGGCAAAGTCTTTAAAATTAGTTCTTTTTTTTGCCATCAAGCAAATGAGAATCTCAGCTTAATCTGATGTGTGAATGCTTCCATTCTGCAGTCATTCGAGGAATCTGTGATGACTACAACTTGGATTTCAGTGCTTTCTATGCTTGGATTGGACTGTGGAACAGCTTTTTCCTTGTGATGTACTCCCTCTTTAATTTCAGTCTTCTGATGAAGCTCTTTAAAAGGTAGCTATTCTCAAGAAGTCGTATTTTGATCAGATTATTCAGCAAATGGAAAAATTACACATTCCACAAGCTCCTTAATTACAAACTTGCTGCAAAATGTATTTTGCAAGATGAAGCTAGTATCATTTTGGCTTATTGTTCCAGCTTAAAAAGAAGCTTTAAAAGATTTACTGGGTTTTCTTTCCCGAGTTAGAGTCTAACTATAATTTGTATATTTTAATGTGAATGCATGAATATGCTGATTTTCTTTGAATGAGGTTGAATGCATGCTCTGCTAATGGCTGTATTAATTCATGGATTTTTTTCCACAGGTCAACAGAAGAAATAATTGCACTTTTTATATCAATCACTTTTGTGCTTGATGCCTTCAAAGGCATTATTAAAGGTAAGTCTTGCAACAGTATTCTTCGGTCCAGATCTCTGCTTTTCGTTGTTGCCACAGGGAAATATGAGGCTGCAAATATGCATGACATTTCCTTGATCCGTGTTCATTCAGAGTCTTCAGGAAAAAATCAAAGTGCTTGAGACACAAGCAGCTCTCTGTCAGCAGTTTTCTTGGAAATGCAAAATTTCTATTAGCTCTCACTTCAGTTGGCTGAGATGGGATTAGGTAGAGAAACCATATGAACGTTTCTGTTAATCTTCCCATGAATGGTCCTGCCAAAAAGAAGTCTTATTTAAATGCAGAATTTTCTCCACACCACATTGTTGAATGTGTTAAATTGGAGGCCAAAGATGTGTTGAGATTGTCCATCATTATGAACTGAGATCTCCTTCTCCCTTAATGGTAACCTAGTGACTGCAGTGCCTTCTAGCATGCTCCAAACTATTCATCCCTCTCCAAACACCACCTTCCCACTTACGGGTTAATTTGTGTATTCACATGAGCAGCCTTAACATTTCTATGGCACTTTCAAGTAAAAGTTATCTACAGAAGTGTCAGGTTGGATAGCAGCCTTTCTGTTCATCCAACCCAACAAGGAGCTGGCAAGTCTACGTTGCTTTCATGATCAATTGTTCAACCGTTCAATGTTTGGTATCCTTTAAGATGTGCTTAACCACACTGAATATGCAGCTTGTTCTCCAGGCCCTGAGGCTTGGCTCTTCATGGTATCTTGTTTGCAAGGAGAACACCTTCAAAGAGGAGGCTGCAAAACACTTTCAAGGAAGACATTTCCTGACTTTATTGAGAATCTATCAAATATCCTGCAAAGACAAAACTCAGTGATGGAGGGAGCTGCTCTGGGATATTTTGCTGCCTTCTTGCTTAATGTGTGGTACTTGAAGTGTTCTGTCAGTGCCCTGCTCTCAAGGCATGGAGCATTCTCCCTGTAGCACTAGGCTGTTATTCAGCAGTATTCAATTGCTCTGTGAAAATCAGTACATGTTTGCTGTAGTGTGGAGTTAATTCTGCATATCAAAGGCATGGGGTCTGAGTTAAAGGTGAGGAAAGCATCCATTTATCTCTGCTACCAGACTTTCAGGAATATGAGTAGTAGTTCAGTCAGTGTATTGCACTGGAGACAGTAGAGGAGGCTGGATGTTAATGTGATTAGTGAATTAGCCTAATTAGTCTAATTTTCCCTTGAACTTGGAAAGGTCTGTTTATAGGAACAATGATAATAAAATCAAGCCAGCACTCTGCTTGTTCACCAGCTCCTGTTGGCTTGAGCTGCATGTGGGAGCACTGAATTCATCAGCAGATGAGACCCCGTGTCCAGCCAGGTTCCCAGGTGCAGAAGGGCAGTGATGTTGGCAGGCACAGCCTTGATCCTAAACCCTCTTGGTGCTCATATTTAAACAGATGACACCAGTATAGCCACGTGCTCATCTTTCCTCTTCCGTTCCAGTCTTATAGCAGGAGGTGATACTTGCTCACTTAACTCTTAAAATAAGGACTGAACAGTTAGGTAAAAGGAGAAAGCTGGTACTGGTAAAAGCTATCAGCAACATTAAGGCTTCCTTAAGGCTAAAGGGTATATTCCTCTTGCTCAGATGTATTTTCCTTAGTCTGCTCATAGCCTTGGTTTTTGCAAGGTACTGTATGCACACAGGAAAGAGATGGGGGAGGGCTGCAACCCTGTACAGAGGAATTGGGCCAGGTGCACCAGCTATCCCTACTGACACTGTTTTCGGCGTGTGGCCCAGCCACCAAAGCTGTATTTGTTTGATCTTGACATCTGCACTCTGCAGGAAACGACGACTGACTGGTTGAAGCAAACAACACAAGTTAATGTTGTTGGAAGGAACTTGAGCGTGCGCTGGGCTTGAGGATGGCTCTGTTTCAATTGGAGCACCACCTGCTTTGCTCTGAATGGGGCAGCAAGATCCATGTAGCTCTCAGTTAGAAAAACAATCGAAAATGACAAAATCTGCAGCAATTTTTGTAGTATTTTATAGCAGGTTGTTCAGAGAAAAGCCCTTGATACACTACTGCCTTGACACATCCTCAGTGCATTAAAATATGAGGGTAAAGAAGCCAGAACGCTTCTTCCTCTTATATTTAGGGTTAACTGGAGCAGCCCTACCTAGTTTTCAGGTGGGTGCAAATTGAACTGCAACGCAAGAGGTGGTGCACGTAGCTGTGATCAACCCTAGATCTATTAAAATGTGTGGGAAATGCAACATGGCATGGGGAACTGAGAAAATCCCCAAGACTCAAAACATTATTATATAAATAACTTGAATTTCATTTGTATGAGTTCAAATCTAAATAGAGGCATGTCAATGTATTCAGCATAACAATTCTGCAACTGTTGGTTTATCGTAGGCTCAGTAATTGTGTACATCTCTAGGACTTAATGACTGTGAGGGTCTGCTTAGACAGGCTTTCAGCTCTGATCAGCTACTGATCCCCAGGGAAATACCCCCTATGATCGTTGCTGTGATGACAAGTGTCCTTTTATATTCAGAGCCAGAAACAGCAAATGCTCCAACAGCCTGTCCCGTGCTAGTTGCAGCAGTGCTCTGTGCCTCAGTTTACCTATTTGCAAAGCAGACATGGGTGTCCTGACTGGGCTGGATGCAGCTGTGAGGATAGGGAGGAAATAACAGCAGAGCCTCTTCCGCAGCACGCGATGCAGAAGTGCGCGGTGTGAAGGAAGGTCGTAACGGGATTGCTCCTTATTGGGGGAGCTTCTCGTGATTAAAAGTGCAATGTTCTCCTCATTTCTGGCTCATGCTGAGAACAGCGTGAAAAAACGAACAAGAGGTGCTTGGGGTTTTTCATGGAGTGGAAAGAGTGCATGGTACAGAACGCTATGAAGGGCGTTTTGGACTGAGTTTGCTGTATTTTTGTCTAAAGGAGATGCTCTTGCCCTGAACTTCTGAGTTTCCTTTGTGAAGCCTGAAGGAGTATTTTGCCTAAAGCAAAGAAAGGCAGGGGGGCTACCAACCTCTGACATGGTGGTTTCCATCCTCCCTTGTTTCCCTATTTGTATCAGGGGAGAGCCAGCTGTCTGCTGGCTTCCAATCACAGCATAGATTCATTAAGGCTGGAAAAGACTTCAAGTCCAACCCATCCCACCATGCCCACTGACCACATCCCTCAGTGCCACATCTCCACGGTTCTTGAGCACCTCCAGAGACATGACTGTGCCAGTGCCTGACCACACTATTGGAGAATAAATGTTTCCTAATATCCGACCTGAACCTCCCCTGGAAAACTTGAGGCCATTACCTCTCATTACCTACTTCTTCTAGGGAGGCTACAAGGGCCAACGCCCATTTGTCCTCACTTTTTCTTTGTGGTGCCTCCAGGCTTTTACTCCAGAAAAAGGCAAAATTATCCCCATACTGCATTTGTATGCTTGGGGCCAGACAATGCCATACAAAAGGGGACTTGACTAAATACTCGAGAGCAAGAGTACACTTAGAACTGTTAATTACTTGTATAAATGACTCTTAACTGAGCTAATCTAATACATTTATGGGCAGTTCTAGAAGCATTGCTATTTCACTTGTTCAGGTTTACTTCAGATGCTTTGTAACTCTATCTCAATTTGCAGCGTGATTTTCAATGTTCTGCCAGGTTTTGCATATCATAAACACTTATCTTTAAATCTGGAGCAGTCCTGGAGGAAAAGTAATTACTGTGTGTTGTGCAGCCCTCTTAAGGGTCTAAGTAGCCTGTCTGCTCTTAATTTTTTCAGAGATCTTAATGTAATTTTTTAGCAGCCTGCTGAAATTCGATGTCTGTTTATGTTTAAGAGCAGTGATTCCAATGAGAGGAACAAAATCACATAAATAATTAGCGCTGTAAGTTCTTACAGTTCATATCTGTTGCTTTAGATGAGTGTAATTTTTACTTGGTGAAAAAGGAGTGAAAAGAAAAAAATCTGTCAAGTGCTGTCTTTGTAAGAGAAGCAGCTCTCCTGATTTGTTTTCTCTGGCTTGAGGGGTAGAGCTATAAACCTGGTGAAGCATAACGTTAATACTGCATGATCAAGCAAGAAAAAAAAAAACCACATTATTTTACTTGCTCTGATTGTCACAAACCTATCCTAATGCTTGCCTGTTGGTTGTTTGTACAGTTTTTAAGAAATATTACTACCATGGGCGCACAGGAGACAGTTACTTGGAAAAAGCACGAACTGATGCTATTCCAAGCCTCGGCATCAATACCACCTTCTTGATGAATTCATCAGTGAGCAGATCCATGTCCCTAGAGAATCAAACAGGCACGCATGATGTGCATTATGGACGTGAAACTGCCGTCCTTAGTCTCATGTTGATGTTGGGTACCCTTTGGCTTGGTCATACGCTCTATCAGTTTAAGAAAAGGTGAGTTACTTTAGTCTTAGAGCTCAGACTACTGATTATTTCATATTACCTAATGAGGAATCAATAATGGTTTAGGTCCAGATTTTTGTAACTCGGTGAAATCAGGTGGAACTCTCCCATTAGTGGTGGTGGAAGCCAAAACCAGACATGACCTTGGCTGGCCACCTGGAAAATGTTAGAGCAGGACAAAATGTTCTGTCACTGACTGATGCCCTTCCGTATTTGATTTGGCATCACAGGTGAATTTTTGGAAAGCTTTGGATGAATCATATTGAACATTTGGAACTTGTAACTCTCCCCAAGTAAGCATTAAACCATTCTTGGAGGCAAAAGCCCTGATGGTGTAGGAAAGCCTAATGGGAAGGTACCTCTATTGTGCTCTTGGAAGCCAAATGCCCACTTCTAACGTGGTTTTAATACTATTGCCTTTAAAACTCTTTGAAATGGCCAAGCAAGTAATTAAAACTGCTGTGGAAATCAGATGCCAGTTGGTGCTGGAGGACCAGCTTGTGTCTTATTTTCTTGTTCTTTCTGGGTTTTTGCTTACGTATTCATCAACCTTCAAAGATGATAGATTCCACAAGGTTTAGGCTGAATTTAAAGACTTTCTTCGCTCCAAACGTCTCTTTTGAATGGCAAGATTGGACTGACTTTTTGTTAATGTTAACGCTATCTGGATTGGACAACTGTCCCTTCAGTGTGGTGTTGATGGAAGTTTTCTGTTTTTAAATTACAGCCCTTATTTGCATGCAAGAGTCCGTGAAATTCTGTCCGACTGTGCCTTACCAATTTCAGTTTTGACTTTTTCTGTTGTGGGTTCCTATATCTTCAAGGAAATTGAAAGTAAGTTGTGTTTTTATTCTTTGCAGTGCTAAGGGATTCTATTGTCTGCAATTTAAGAAAAAGTTGAATCTGGGGAAGTTTGGCTACAAATAAATAAAAAATAATCTACGTTCCCCCCATATAATATTACAAACACTACTGTCTCCCACTCCAGGGGTTCTAATTTTGTCATTATCAGATATAAGTCATTTGAAACCATAATCAAGCAGGACTGGTTAAAGTTTTCTCTAGATGAGTTATTTCAGCCTGTCTTTTCATTTAATTGTAATTTAGGTGTGCATCTCTTACAATAAAGAGAATCAACAATTTCTGGCAAAGAACAAAGGGCAGAGTAATTAGCAGGCAGGAAGGGTTTGTTGCCAGTTGTGCAGACGTAGAGTTGATGATCCCAGTCTGTCCTCTTTGTCTCCACTTGACGTTTTCCTAATTTAGGTGAAACGGTGCAGAGCATCTGGGCAGTTTTAAGTTACATGAGGAAATCTAAAAATGATACACCATTCACTGGCCACACAGATCAGCTTTTCCACATCAGGAAGTGATAATGGGGACAGGAATTGCATTGTCCCGTGGTGACGTGAGTGGGTGATATGAGGAAATGTATGGAAACGCATAAGAAATGGCTTTTTTCTGTGATGACCATTCCATTCAGTTGGATTGCAGAATGATGTTTGGCCGTATGAAATTTACCTGTACTGATAGATATTTTTTTTTTCCCCCTGGCAGAAAGCAGGGACACAGCTTGTTGCACGAGGGGAAGTTTTATGTAGAATACCTCTGTCAGTTGATGAAGTCTACTGCTAGTTAGAAGTATTTCTAATCTAAAAAATGCTTCATGTCTGTGGAAAATGACTTTCCCTTTTTTTTATTTGTTCAAAATAGAGAATGCCTCACTAGAACGAGCCATAACCCAACAAGTCAGGATGGTAGCCAAGCTCTTAGGGGATGGGGAAAACTGAACCATGGCTTCCTGGCTCTCACATGTCAGAGCATCACGTCTCATTTTCTGTGTTGGTTCCCTGTAGATCATAACGTGTGTAGAACTACGTGAGTCTTTGTAGATGGTTTGGCAAGAAGGCACACCCTAATTTCATTCCTCTCCTCTTTGCAGTGTCCAAATTCAACTACAACCCATCTGAGAGCTTGTTTGTGCTGGCTCCTGTCCAGTCCCTCTCCATTGGTTCAGTGATGAGTGCTATGGGGCTGGGGTTCCTCCTCTCAATGCTCTTCTTCATAGAGCAGAACATTGTGGCATCGCTCACAAATGCTCCAGAGAACAGGTAATGCTTTCAACTTTCTGCTGTCCCTGTGTTAGGAAGCTTCTTCATGACTTGTTGACCTGTAACAATGGGATCTCAACTAGTTCTACAACAACAAAAGGAAATTCTCAAGTTATGTTCTACACCTTGAGTAAATCTGTCTTCTGATAGCTTTATCCAAAATCCAGCTTGTGTATTGAAATGTTCAGGACACATTCTTTCAGAACTTCTCATCACCATCCCCCAAAACCTGATATTGTAGCAGTGAATCAAAAAATAATGCAAAGCATTGATGAGCTCAATGCCTCAGCTTGTTTCTTCTTTGCCCCTGTGTGAAAGTTTTGTAGGTATTTGGTATGGTTTGTTTATGGATGTACATCCAGATATGGCTGATGGAGCATCTGATCCGTGTGGACACATACACAGCTCTCAAAAGGATGCCTTTTTGTAAATGATGAGTCAGTGATCTGCACAACTATCATAGCAGCTGGGAATTAGGAAAGTATTTGAAGCTATTTATCTCTAATTGAGAATGGGGAAGGGAAGTAAAATATATCTGATGTAGTTTCACTTTTATCTAGTAGAGCTGAGTTGTGTTTAAAGTTGCAAGATTATTAAAATATTTGTTTCTTTTTCTTCCAACTGCAATCAGATGATATCGAAAGTTGAATGTGTATGACTTTCCAGAAAACACCATGTCTCAGGGTTTTTCACTGGTGTGATGTGTGGGAGGGTTCTCCTTGAACACTAATTTTGTTATACTCCATATTGTAGCTAGAGTGTGACACAATTAGAGGAGAAAAGACGAGCTCAAATTCAGTTGAACCAATTTGGTTTTCTTTGACTACGTGTTTATTCCTGTTATCTTGATTATATCATCCCCCTTTCAGGTAAAGCATTACATAAATTTATAATGTAAGTGGGTCATCTTTATCCCAGTATGGGTTGTTGTTTCCAATAGGGTGCCCTTAAGAAATGTAAAACATTTTGTCTTTCTTTGTAGCATTTTTCATAATACTGTGTACAGGGCTGAGCTTATGCTGGTCAGGTTTGAGGGCAGGGTTGTGGAAAGGAGGAAAATAGAACCTGACAGCTTGTTCTGTGGTGTCATCACAGAACAAAAATTCCATCACCTATTGCAACCAAACAGAATACGGTTTTTGGAGTCCTACTAAATATAGCAATTTCTTCCTGTGGAATAAGCAGGGAAAGTATGTTATGTACCTGAGAGCACACTGCTTTGCTAAAGAATAATAGAAGAAAGCTATGGGACAGTCCAAGAGATAATGGTCTGGTTGGATAGTGTGAGAATAACCCAGGATAAGACACCTAGAGCTCTTGTGTGTGTTGAGCTAGACAGAGGCTCAGATGCATGTGTATGGAGTGTAGTCAATGCTGTGAGATTGAGACAAGTATTAAAATGATGCTGGCACTGAACATATGGCCTTTGTACACAGAAAACCCTTTGAAAGCAGCAGGTAGGATAAGCAGGCAATAACCCTATGGGAGGTGGGTGATGCCTCTGCTCTGAGAAATCAGCACATGGGCAAGGGCAGTGCTTTCAAAGTGTAAGCCAACACAGGAAGAGTGTACAACCCTCCTGAGTCCCACCCTTCCTGCCAGCACCAACTTCAGAGGCAAAGCAGTGTAGACATCCATCTGACCTAGTCACCCTGTTGCCTCCTCCCTCAATGGAGGTGAGCACTCTCAATATGACGTGTCTTTGTTTCAAAGCTGAACTCCACCTAAGAGTGCTGTTTTCACATACCCATAAGACAATCTTTCTGTGCTGGATTGCTTGCTAGATCCAGGTACCTGCTATCCTGGAGCATCTGAGATGGTTCCAAGTCTTTGCTTAGGTACTGAGCTGATGTGTGTTAAGACACCTAAATGATATCTGAGCACACCTTGCAGTTGATGGTGCCTGGAGAGCATTTCAACTGATGCTTTACTTGTGTCAGAGTGGGCTCAAGCGCTACCTTGCTCTGATGCTCAGAGACAGAACGATGACTGACAGACCTTTAACTTAGGTAACACAGTCTGAGGGCTGAATTTCCCCCCCCCAGCCTTTATGTAAACTTGAATAAAGTTGTTTGAATACACAGTACCGGATGGTTATGTTTGGAAAGGGACCTTACAAAAAAATCACAATGTTAGAAAAGGTACGAGTTCAGTGTTAGCACTTGTTCTCTATGAAGCCTGAGATGTGGCTAACACCTTGGTTAACCTTTTAGTTTAAGGGCTGTTTTTCCTTAAACTAAAGGGGGGCGGGGGGGAGGGTATGCAGTGTTAACTGAAGTTAGGAGCGTATCTCCTGGGCTGACTAATGAGGAGGAGCTGAAGTTTAATGAATTCATGTCCTATTTTCTTATCATGCAGAAGCAGTAATTGTGGGAGATTACTGCAGTGTACTGAGCGTGCACTCAGCTCCTGGGTCTGCTTGTGGGGAAGGAGAGAGATCGGGGATATTAGCAAGGCAGATGGGGAAATTTCAGTGTTGCTGGTTTGACAATCCATGCCCAAGTTTCACACCACTGCCCATGTCAGTTCTGTTAGCAGGCATACCTGTATATTTTGAGTTGACTCAGCAATAAACAATAGTGGCAAAATGCTGATGTGATTCTTATGGGCTGTTATTTTAGCAGATTGCCTTTTAGCTCAGCGTTGTTCTTTCCAGAAGGTGATTGCTTTGGGAGAAAGCTATCAAGTTTCATTACCATTTGTGTTCACGTAACGTCAGCTGTAAAACAGGAGGTGTGTAAAATTGCTCAGTGCATAGAAGTGCACTTGGTTTAACATTCAAGCTCAGGTTCAGCAAGAGCAGCCTTGCTGCTGTTAGCACCAAATCTGACAGCTCTCAACCGTACCCCGTTTCAGGTTGGTGAAGGGAACAGCCTACCACTGGGACCTCCTCCTCGTGGCACTCATAAACACGGGGCTGTCCATCTTTGGCCTTCCATGGATCCATGCTGCCTTCCCTCACTCTCCAATGCACGTCCGTGCTCTGGCCTATGTAGAGGAGAGAGTTGAGAACGGGCACATCTACGAGACGTAAGTAGGAACCACAGAGCTACCATGGCTCTCTTTGGTTTGATTTGAGCTTTCCTTTGGGTACAATGGGATATAGGGTACGTTTGGGATCTAGCTGTAGTCTTGAACGCTCTGGGAGATGAAGACGGAGGGGAAAATGGACCAAACAAAGCCACGTCAGCTGCCATGGTTTGTTGTTCTGCTTCATCCCTCCTCCCCGAATCACTTGTTTTAGAAGAGCCACAAATGTGTGTTTTTCTCAATGGCAGGAAGTAGCCTGAAGGAATTCAGCAAATTTAGGTGCAGAGAGTCAGCCAAGACCTTCTTTGCTTTTATCTCTGTGTGAAACTGAGGAGATATTTTGGCCAGACTTCTCTAGATATCTTCACCAGAGAAAATCCAGTCTGATTCATCACATGGGACCTGTCTAGTGGTTATTACAAAGGATAGGAAAAATGCAGCAGCATTTCAGAGTTCCCATGGTCTTCCACCATGCTTTGGAAAGGCAAGAGGCTTATTAAATTCTCTTTTCCTTAAGTAAAAACAGCAATGAAACCAAGCCCGGGTCACACCATTCTATTTAAGACAAGATTTTTTTGCTGCTCTGAGTTGTCAAATGCTTTTCTTATCAGGGTCCTATTTAAGAAAATAATAATTAAAAAATCCAATTTCTTATGAAACTTCCTCCAGAATAGAGATTATCTGGTCTGTTTGATCTCGGTACATTACACTTGAACGCTTTTACCTCAGAAGTGGTAATTTCCACTCACATGCCATTAGTTTTAATTATGCTATCTTTTTGTTTCCATTTTCAGAATCCTCGCTTCTCATAAGTGAGACTAAGTGGTCGTTTACTTTGGGGAAATGGAGTGGATCTGTCTGGATCTGTCTTTTAATTTCAATCTCGCCTCTATGCTGTTACGTTCTTGGTGCCTGTTGGCCCAACCCAGTTGGGCTTGTCTGCTTTCTGTGTTGCTGGTGGATATTTCACATCCCACATCCATATGTTGCTGTTCCCTGCAGTGCCTTTGTAGTCCTCTGTTGGGATATCAGCTCCTGGACTCGTATTCCCGTTACTATTGGTATTAGTTGTTCCTACAACTATATCTTTGCTTTGAATCCATGCTAAGCATTACATTACAAGAAGGGGAAAAAAAAAGGATAAAACCTGAGTTGCTTTAATGAGTTTTGTAGGCTTGTATTCATAGACTAAAATCATTAAATTGGAAAAGACATCCAAGATCCCCAACCCATCCCCACCATACCCACTGACCGTGTCCCTCAGTGCCACATCTCCACAGTTCTTGAACACCTCCTAGGGTGGTGACTCCACCCCTCCACTCCCCTTTGCCAATGCATCACCATTTTTTTTGGAGAAGAAACGTTTCTGGAATCCATACTGTTTCTCCTGGTGTATTACAGAAGAGATTATAGACATCTGTAGTCCAGGAGATGCACAATTTTCCCTTTGAAACCCATGAGCCAAGCCTCCCTGTTGTTTTCTGCTGTCAGATACCCAGTGGCTCCTTTCATCTTTTGCCACCCACTGTCTTTATGCTGTGCTGTTTTCTCCTGGCAAAGCACAAGTTCCTTGTGCAAATTAAGGGCCTTCTGTCCTTGTCCTTTGCTCTGTCATCCAGCTGCCCCCAAAATAACAGGGAGAGCCCTCTTTTGCTTTGTTAACATAGATACAGGTCCAGTGATTACCCTAAAAAGAACTGAGAGATGACCTAATCTCTTGAAGTACTTTCCCTTGAGGCACTGCTCTGCCTCTGTGTAAATCTGTGCTTTGAACCTAATATAGGGAGCAAAGACAGGAATAAGGGCTGCCTGCTTGTCTGAATTCCCTTTGAGACTGAAGCTGCTTGTTCTCTGCGAAGCACTGAGCCATAAACAGGAGGCTCTGAGCAATGCTGTCACCTTTTTCTCTTAGCTGTGCTGAAAAAGAAAACGTACCAGAGCTCAATTAGAAAATCAGGAGTTCTTTTGGTGCTGACTCCCTTGGCAGGTTCCTCTCCTGCACTCGAATCAAAGCTGCATGAGGATGATGGCACTAACAGGAATAAAGCTCTGTCACAATGAAAGCGAGGTTTTCTTCTTCTCCCCTGTGGATGAACCACTTGAATTTGATGGGAATCTGGCAATCTGCAAATAGGCATATGGAGGAGGTAGGGAATGGCTGATCCCAGACTAACCATATTAAAGGATCCTAGGGAAACGAGACTGGATTATGCTCTATAATCTCTGTTAATTACATCATTTCCATTGCAGTACAGGCTTTCTGGAACTGCTTCCTCAAGAGACAAACCAGATTCTGAACTGTTTTTTTTTTTCTGGAAATAAGAAAGGTGCTGGAGTTGGCAAAAGAGCATCTAGAGGGTGGGAAGATCAGCTTAAAAAAAAAAAAAATCGAATTTGATGACTTATGAGCAATTTTCACTGTTTTGGTAAGGAATTCCAGACTACTTTATGTGGCTTTAACAGCAAGTGACCATAGTTATTGCAGAACTTGTGTACGTTCAGACACTCCTCAATGCTGTGACTGCTGCATCCCCAAGAGAAGACAACCAAATGTGATGAGCTTCAAAAATCCATTACTGAAAGGCTGCTGCTCTGGGCTGTTCCCATCCATGCAGGCTTGTATCTTATTGAAATGTACTGGTTTCATATCTAGCTTTGATCCTGAGCTCTTCAGTTTCCATCATTGCACTCACAAGGAACCTAGCAACCTTGTGTATGCTCTGTTTGCAGATTGTGAATGTTTTCTTTTTCCCAAAACAAATGCTTCCTTGGTAGCTTGCCCAAAGACAAAGCTAGGGGAGCTCTTACTGTACACGGATGGTCTGAATCACTTAGTGCATCCCTTCCCTCCTGCTTTACTGCGACACTCGAGAGGCTCATAGTGGTTCTGATGGCACTAAAGTGGTCTGACTGCTCCTTATTGGACTATCAGATTAATCTGAAATAGCCCCTGCGCTTGCACTTAAAGCTTGCTTGTCTCTGTCTCTGAGACTTTTGTTCTGCAGTGATGCAGGCCTGCAGGCTGTGCAAATGATGCCAAATGATAACCCCCCAGCTGATGTTCCTGTTCTTCCAGAGCTGATGGAGCAGTTTGCAGATAACAGGGGGAAGCAGCACTCCTGCTCTGGCTTCTCCAGGCAATAGGAGGGACATCCCATTAGGAAACTTGTAGAAGTGTATTTGGAAGGAGGAAGGCTGTGGTTTTGACTGTTTAAATCCAGATGTGAAGGAAGAAGGGGAGTTCCACAGAGGTTAATACCTCCTGTCTCTTCTGCATATCCTTTTTTGGTAATCTTGGATAACACAATCTGCCTCAACATTCACTGGGGAATTTAAGTGTTGTCCTCAGGACTTGGTGTTCTGTTTCTAGTATTTGTTATTCCTTAGGTTTCATGTAAATTCTGTGTTATCCAAGTGCTAAGAGCAAGCCTTGGGCTGTTGTGCTTTCCCTCAGTCTCTAAATACAGGTGTGGAAGAATCCTTCATCCATCTCCTCCACAGCATCTTTACGTTCTTGAAGGCACAAACAAAACTTCAGATGTTCAACCTGACTGTATTTAAAAGGAAGGCTCTCAATATTGAAAGAATTCACTGTAAAGGAACCTTCTTTAGTGCAGAAGGGATTACGAGGTGTCAGCAGTACTTGGAAAAGAGGGAAATGTTCTCATAGATCTTGTGCTAATCCTCACGGTGCTTTGTGTAGAGGGTTAATTCAGAATGTCTTGCAGCCACCAGATGATGCCTAGAGAGCCTGTGAAAGAGTTTCACCTATAATAGGGGATTTATTCACCCGCTTATACTGTGGATTTATCTTCTAAATATGTGTATAAATATAAATTACATTAAGAATCTCCTTTTTTTCTAGAAGTACTCTTGAGAGACGAGGGTTTTGTTTCCTCCCATTGTTTTGGGTTTATATTGAATGAAAACAGAACCACCCTCTCACCCCTGAGTAAGCTCTGGAAGTTGCTGCACGCTTTCCTGTCCATCTTTTATTACTGTTTATTAAAAATTGTTCATCAATTCTATGAAATTTGCACTAATAATTACAAGGTCTGCATAGTAGTAGGCAATTCACAGTACAGCTGCTGTAATCCACAGCAGAATTAAATTTCTAGCTCCATGCATAGTGCTTCCAGCATTCCCTCCATGTAAACAAGATCCTCACATAGATCAAAACTGTTGACTCTCAGTTGAGAATGCAGATCCATTTCTTTTTTCCTTCCAAGACATTGATTAGTTCCTGTAGAAGCCAATGAGTTTTATTCTGGATAAAAGCCAATTGCATATACATTGGGTAACTTGAGGGAAGGATTAATGCCCAGAAAGAGGATTCCTGCCTATTTTCTCGCAATGTGCTGAATAGAATTAGTTTAGAGGGCAATTTAGTTCAGGGATAGGATCTGTGCAGCTTTGGAGAAGGGGAATTTGGCATTTCTCCAGGTGCTCTGTTTGAGTCGTGGATTAAGTGCCTGGCCTGGATCCAGCAGAGCTCTGCCTTCTCAGTGTCAGCGTGGGGCCAGAAGTGCTGATCTCAGTGCTGTGGAGATGAGTTTCCCTTTTCCTGAGTGGCACGTGTCCTGAGCTCACTCTGAGTTGTGTGCCCCAGTAATAAGCTTATGTGGATACTGGGGTTCTTATCCTTCTCCACTAATTCCTGTTTTTTTCTGCTTCCAGGATTGTGAGTGTGAAGGAGACCCGGCTGACAAGTCTGGTGGCAAACTTCTTGGTTGGCCTCTCGCTCCTGCTCCTCCCTTTCCCTCTTCAGTGGATCCCAAAACCAGTCCTCTATGGCCTCTTCCTCTACATTGCATTGACCTCCATTGATGGGAACCAGCTCTTTGAGAGGGTGGCTCTGCTGCTCAAAGAACAGGTAATGTTCACACGTTGGCTTGGTGTGGAGTAAAGAAATCATGCTTACAACCTGGGAGCAACCAGTGCCAAGATGACTGGTGTGGCAAGCTGGTGGTGCTGGGAATGGGCTTACCCCCAAAACTCATGTTCTCATGAGGTTGATTTCCATCTTCCATATTGATTTCCATTGATTTCCATTTTCCACCTGCACCTTGCGTATCCATTTCACCTTTCTCTGCAGGGAGGGAGGGAGTGAAACATGATGTCTCCGGCTGAGTCTGACTGTCACTGAGACACGAGCAAGAGAATTCTTTTGTGTTAAAGCAGATGAACAAGTGAGAGAAGAATGCTGTGTCAAACAACAAAAGTGGCAAGGTTATTGTTAGGTTAGAAAAAGGTGGTAGCTAAATTGTTCGGAGAATTACACCTCATCTCATTTCTTTCAAATTCTGCATAAATTGCTTTCTGCGTTTCCCTGCTGTGAAAGCATCTGAGTTCTCTTGCTTGGAGTAGTGTCTCAGATAATCCCACGCTTTTCAGTTTGCTTCAGGATTGCTCTAGAACACCTTTCTCCAGGAGGGTAAGAATGAGTGCATGGATGGAACCAGGAGAGCTGTGACCAGGGAAGACCTGCTCTGAACTCTGTAGAGCACAAACACATTCATACAACACACACATTCAAACACTGCCTGTGATAGCTGCAGAAACTACTGCCCATTGCACACAGGGTGTTTGTCAGTCTTAGTTGCAGAGTATGTGTATCTTAAGAATAATTTAGGAAAAAAGAAAATAGATCTACGATGATGACTTTCAATTTTGCCAACAAAACTTCAGAAAAGGTCACTTTTGCCTCATTTTATGCTTTTGTCTCAACTTGTGCAAAGCGTCATGAGATAGTATTTTACACTCAAAATGAAATGACTTGTGCTATTGAAATGCTTCTGATGTGGGATGAAAGCAAACCTGGAAACCTGCTTTCAAGCCATCTCTATAACAAGTGCATTAGGGCCCTTGTTGGCAGTGTGGGCAGCACCTGGGAACAGTAATGAGTCTCCAGCTCACCTCCTCTTATGTAATGGGTCAAGGGCTTAGCAAGCCTGGTGCTTCTGCTAATCTGTCTTAACCTCTGAGCTGTAACATCAGAGATCAAGACTGAAATCTGGGTAAAGATTACCATTGTCATGTTGATTTTCTTGAATGGAGATTGAATAGTTATGCGGTTGAATAGTGATGTTGTGGAATATTACTTCTGATTTTTAATACAAATTCTGTGGAATTTTCCGAGCTTCAGCTTGGAAAATTAAAAGTAATCTTAAATATGGAACTCTCACTTTTCTGGAAACCTTGTAATGAGTCATGGCACAATCTGAATCCATTGAGTCTGTATCAGTGCCAGCAGACAGTCGCTCATACTCTTCATTGATGTATAGACAATGAGTCAAAGCTTGTACTCAGACATGAGCAAGTAACTGTCAGAGGGAAACCACGAGTGATATTTAGCCTATTAATGTCACTTTTTGCTCTTTCTCAAAAGTGAGCACTTCATATAAGTGGAGAATCATGGCTGTTGAAGTCTGGCCTCTTCTAGCACCTCCACAGTCTCATCTCTTGCTGTTTAGATGGAAAATGGGACCACCAGGGCAAGCCTAGTCTGATCAGCAGGAGAAAGGCTATATACTAATGAAGAGCTGGGTTTCAGGTGCAGAAACAAGTGATGGGGTTGCTGGATGAATATTTCTGCTTCCCATCACTCTCTGCACACCCCCTCAGGCACTTCATGTGTTGCTGCAAAGCCCTGATAATCCTACTCAGGGGAATCTCATTACTGTACTTATCAAGATATTTTCTTGCACTCCAGATGCTCCCCGAGGCAGTCTTCATTGTGTGTTATTTCTCCCCTGGGTTTCTCATGCCCAGTCATCATCTCTGTGTTGTTGCCAATGCAGTCAGGTTGTTGCATGCTTTAACCCTACAAATCCTACATTCAGCTGTTGAGCACGTTAAGAACTGTTAATGCACAGCATGGTGTAAACTGGGTTCGTTAAAACCCTCGTTCTGAAGCCTGCATTGTGTCCTGCACTCACGAGTCCAAGTTGCTGCATTTCTGAGACACCATTCTTCTCTTCCCAGACTGCTTATCCTCCGACACATTACATCCGCAGAGTGCCCCAGAGGAAGATCCACTATTTCACAGGCCTGCAAGTCCTGCAGCTCCTCATCCTCTGTGGTTTTGGCATGTCACCCTTGCCCTACATGAAGATGATCTTCCCGCTCATCATGATAGGAATGATCCCAATCAGGTAAGAAACTCTTCCCAACAAAGCTTGGCTGGATTTTTTTTTCTATCTCCAATGCTCGTCTTCCAGCTGTTGGAAGCCTGAGTGGTTGAGGAGGATACAGTGCTCTCCTGAGTACATGATGGCTTGAGGAGGAATAGCACAGAGAACCTTTGACTTCACTAATATGAAGTCTTGTGCGAAGTGATGTGGTCTGGTTAGTCGCTTTCTAGCTGGCAAAGAGGCACCTGGGTCTCCCTTTGCAGTGCCTGTAGACATCTTCCTGAGTAGCTGCAGTCGTCTGAGCCTTTCCTCTTGGTATTGAGAATGCTCCATCTTGCTTTGCATTCTGATTTCCTAAGACCTGCAGTCAGGGCAGAGCTGGAAACTTTCCTTTGCACCATATGAATGTGAAGAGGAATCCTTATCTTTTATATAGTGCTGGGATGCACTGATCTTACAGACCACCTGTGTTGCTGAATGCCATTGTAAATAATCAGCTCAGACCACGTGAAATCTTCAGAATGCATCTAACATAAAACTACAAGAATCCCATAATATCTTGCAACCCTCATTCAGTGAAGAATATCCTGAGTTAGAAGAGACCCTTAATGATCATCGTGTCCAACCCCTGAAGGAGAATCATTGAAGTTTAATGTTTTCCTAATGTTCTTTAAACAGTGACTGTCCATCATTCTTCAGTGAAATCATGCTTTCTTCTCCATTCTTTGGCTGTAATGAGAAGCTGTAATAAGATCTTGGACAGAACAGATCTCTTTCCAGTCCATATGATTATTTTTAGGCCTGTATGGCATCCAGTGATACCTAATTCTCTTTGAGCTTGTAGTGCTGGAGGTTTTCCATCTGATGTAGAAGCTCAGTGCTCCCGATGTGATAATCTGCAAAGGCAGCTATTGTGGTGGCACTCCTCTTGGCTGGTAAAGCTGGGTTCAGTTCTTTCCAAAACAAAAGCAAATGTCAGCTGCCATGGCTTTCAACAGGATTCCAGTTAAAGTTATTTGGGCTGAGTGTTTGAAGATGAACCAGACAGTAGAAAGCACTGAAATTATTGCTATTTTGCTATTATGATAGGAGACCCTCTCCCACCATTCAGATAGGTGGTACTTTGGGATGCCTGGTTAAATGGCTGGCAAATAATTTGTGGATGATGGACTCTTGTGGGAATTCTGAGCCTCTGCAGAGTGTCTCAGTACAGAAAAGAAAATTCAGGGCGTTCTTACCTAAGTCATAGAATGGCTTGGGTTGGAATGGACCTCAAGGATCATGAATCTCCAACCCCTGCTGCAGGCAGGGCCACCAACCTCCACATTTAATACTAGACCAGGCTGCCCAGGGCCCCATCCAACCTGGTCTTGAACACCTCCAGGGACGGGGTATTCACAGTCTTTGGGCAGATATACATATTCAGTTAATATATATTGTTATAAGGTAAATTACTGTGGAGAATGCTGTGTCAAAGAACCTGAATTTCTCAAAAAAGCTAGGTAATTTAATGGTGCAAATACATCTTTTCTTTGAGTAAATAAGGCACTGTCATCTTTTGCTATATCTGCTAAGTTGTTTCTCTTTCCAGAGCAGCTTTTCCAAATAGCCTTTGTAATTAGCCCTGCTGCTCAGGGGAAAGTGGTACTACATGGAATGCAAACTTGCCTTCTGCTTCCTTCCTTCTGAATTCCACATTGCCTTCATGCAATGTCTGTGGGCTCCAGCTGAGAAGGCTGCACCATGATGCATAGCTCTGTAGCAAATAATGACTTTTTCATGAAGATCTGGCACTCTAAATAGATGAGGCAGAAAAGAAATGCTTTTTTTAAAGAAGCAGAGGGAGGAAGAGGAGAATAGCCAGGGGTCAAAGTCAAGAATCAAACCCAGCTGAATGACTCACAGCTCGGTGTCCCATCCAGAAAACTTGCCATATGGTTTGCTTGTCTCAAGGCTGCATTCCCTTCCTTCCAACTGCATTAAACACATGCTTTGCATTGTCATTTATTGGGTCCAATATTTTTTCCAGTGTCAGTGTTGGAAAGTAACTGATTTCAGTGATTTACTATTGCAGTGGAATTGTCTGTTGGGAGAGAATGATATTTTTTTTGGTATACCCAATTCCAAGTATTGAGCCAAAAACTGTAGGGTGTCTAGTTTTTTTTGTTACACTCCTATCCCTGCCCTGGGGCATACTTAAGGTTGCTCAGAGAGGAAGAATCTTTCTGCATTCTGTTTCTGTGCTTTCACAGCTCTCAAGCATTTTATTTCATGGCAGGTCAGTCTAAGCAGGTGGGGTATTTCTCAGCAGTAAGTGCTGTTAGGGATCTCTTTTCTAGCTCTTGAAAAGACCCTTCAGCTCATAAACTGGCTTTCTAGTACTGTACCCTGTTAGAACAGCTGAATTGCTTCCCTCTTAAGCAAGAAAAGTGTCAAACTACAAATATACAGTGAGATCTGGATGACAGCAGCTTCCTACCATGTTTTTAGTGGCTTTCTTTTCTCACCCAAATTCATGAAGATGTTTATGTAAAAACAAACAAAACAAAAAACAAACAACCCCTCAAAATAGAGGAAAGTAAGGGAACTGGGGCATCACTACCTCCATGATCAAATGGATGCTAAGGGCTGGGTAGGCATGGAGCCTTACCAGCAGCTGGGATGTCACTGCCCTGCTCAGCCTCTTGATCTCAAGTCTTGATGTATTCTGTCCTTATTAAAAGACTGTCTGAAGTTGCTGGGTTCCCATTAAAATTTCATGAGGAGAGCTGGAAAGAGTGACCTGGTGTACTTGGAGGACTGAGGAAAAGCAAGATAAAACCCCTGTATCATAAAGCTTGTGCCAGCCCTGAAATTTTGGGAAGGGTTTTTCCTGTGAACCCTCCGTGTTTGCTGTTCAAAGTGTTGTACTGGATGTAAGGCTGCATCAGGTATGGTTTGTGTGCTGGAAAACTGTAGGGAGATTGCTTAAGAAAATAGGAACAGGACTGTGACTTGTGGACAAGTAATCAATCCAGTAGCAAGGTGGGGACAGCAGGAAGCTATTGCCTGCCTCCCCAGCACAAAACAAGAGTGTGTCTGTGGGCAAATTAAAAGCAGACTTGACAAATAAAACACTTAAGTTAAACAGGTTCTAATGCACTCTCTCTGGTTCGTTCTTAGGTATAACCTGCTGCCTAGAATCATTGAAGCCAAGTACTTGGATGCTATGGATGCAGAGCACTAAACAAGATCTGCTGCATGCGGAGCAGTGAGGATGGCTCTTCTGGAGTTGGAAGGATGGGGCATCTTTGCCAAGGCATAGAACAGTCTATCTGCAGTTCTTTCTTTCACCACTTTCTTTCTGCTCTAATATGGCGTTGGTAATGCACACATATCAAAGACCAATTGAGCATTGAAGTGTCAGACCAAAACAGCCATTGGACTTGGGAGGCCAGTGATCTTTGGAGCTGTGAGGCAAGCGAGCTGGATGGAAATGCCACTTTTCACATCCCGAAACTGGAAGCCCTGAAAAACAGCATGCCATACAGTTGGAGCATGCATTCAGATTTGTTGTGTGTTCCCTTGTTTGAGGGGTGGGGGAAAATCCCTTTTGTATGCGTCACGTCCCTTTTTTTCCAAAGCACTATAAGGACAACAGCTGACCCTTTTACAGAATGACAGTCCTATTTTGTTTGGCCTTTGAATTCCATTTCCTATTAATTCAGTATTTCCAAATTGGTATCCCAGGTGGGATGGCCTCATGGTCAACCGTTGTCAGGGGAAATGTCTGTCTCTTCAGACTCATTAGCAGAAGGGTTGGAAACAAGTTAGTTTGTGCTGATACAACCCACAGCTTTGGATGAATATTTAATTCCTACAGATGACCTGGAAGCACTCAAAAATTGGGCTCGCGTGGTGACGTTGGTGAAACTGCATCTGGGTCTGAGCTACTTGGGAATTATTTTGGCTCTTTCTAATTTTACCACGGTAATCAAACACAGAAGTGTAGTTTTGCACAACTGCAACGTTCTTGCTTGCACCCAGAGTCAGATGCTGAAACTTGTCAAAGGGCAGTTGTGTTGGTGATTGCATATACATATGTACAGTAGTGCCTCTGTGTACATATATACATATGGATTTGTGTATATATTTTGCATAGATATTCAAATAGGCCTGTTCTTTCAAAATATCAGAAGTGTTTTGTGCAATCAGTGTTACCTGTGGTGTCTTGACCATATCCTTGTTCTCTGCTTTAGTGCTGCTTTTTCTCATTTGTTGTACAGTCCCTTGTTTTTTTTCTTCTGAAGCTGCTTGTTTGCTATTTTTTTTTTGTTTCTTTATTCAAGACATTTCTTTGCTTTCCTCTTCCCATGGCTTGAGATCTTCATCATTCTGTCTTGGTGGTCTGATATGTGAATTTTGCATTTAATTTTGATGTACAGCATGCAATGAAAGTTCTCCTCCTTTGCCTAATCAATATTTGTTGGTCATTTCATTGTTTCTGTTCTGTGACTAATCTCCAGGTTTTTCCCCTGCTCCCAGACATTATATTATATTTCTGGATGAATCTAACTTCTGCAGTCTTTTATATTTCAGTTTATTTTATTTTGCTTGTACAGTGGTCAGTTTTCTTATTTGAAGTACTGTGAAACCAGCTGCCCTTTATGTCAATGCCTGCCCATTGCTGCACGCTACAGATTGCAGGTAAAACTTCAAGGAAAGTGGAGTCCTAGCTAAACATCACACGTTGGGCTTTCAGTTGGTCCTGAAGGCAGCAAGGGTAACTCACATGATGTCTGAGCAATGGTGTGATACTAAATGCAAACCTGTGCACGGTTTCTGACTGCCTTCATCAACATTTTCTGGGTTTTGAGTCATTTTTTGTGGTAAAATTGCTGATGGCTATTACCAAGGTGTACATGTAGAAAGGGAAGGTGAGCAGTCAACAAACAGGATTTTGGGGACCATGTAAAGGTGGAGGGTGGTAAAAGCATCTCTGATCTCCAGTCAACAGAAAAAGATGACAGCAAACAATTACGTACTTATTGTGAAAGAGCAATTGCACAGGCCTGACAATGCTTGTTTTTTCCCCTGTGGATGTTAGATTTAACCAGAACTAGAATGAGAAGTGTTAACTTATGGTCAAGTAAACTATTACCTGTCTTGGGAGTACATTGCTGGTGTCTCAGCTTTTGGTTGGGAGAAGTCATCCTTCAGGGTAGTTCAAACTGTATTGTGGATGCTGTGGCTGGAAGGAGGAGGCAGTGTGCCTGCTGGGATGTACCTCTGGTTCTCTCTGAGGCCCTGGATGAAATCCCCTCCAGTACAGAGTAGCTGAGATGGGCTGGCATGCAAATGTTACAAGAAGAATTAATTTTGAGATGCGCCCTCCAAGCCTCTGCTCACAAGGACCAAAAAGCATCTATGTCAATTTCAGAGTCAGACTTAGTTGAAGATCACTTAAAATCCAGATAACTGAGGGAGGTTAAATAGCCATCACAATTATTGGGGTGGGGATTCACTGCTGTTGCTTCACCAGTATGACTTCAGTGTTTTGTGTTTTCTCAGTAGCATCCCTAGGATTCTGTTTTGCAAAGGTTTCTTTCTACAGAATGCGTGGGTCAAAGAATCAAGTGATGGGGGGCTGGTTTAGCCTGTGTGAATGTTTTGGACCCATGTTCTAAAGATGTGGGTAGTGGAGAGATGTGAGACTACCAAGGCCTCATGGCTGTTGAAGAGTTGCAATGGTCCTGCAGAGGATTTTCCTCCTACGAATACTTTTCTCTTGTTTGCTTCTGGTTCTGCTGATTGTAAGTGTAGGCATCTCCAGGAAGCAGGCTAACTAGGGAAGGAGGGACTGTTCAGAGTTGATCGAGCACTTTAATACTTCTGTGAAGGTTAAGACAATTAGAATGTAAAAGAAGTTTTATTATAAGCTCTTTATATACGCACAATGCTATGTATAACTGTTGCCAAAGAGTTGGGTTTGAAGGATGTTGGTAGCTATCAAGAGAGTCCGTGATGCTCACCTGGAACCACGAAGGTCGTAGGATGCTTCTGAAATGAATGGATTTTGGGAGTTATCTTCTGACAGTTGCCAAAGCAATTGGAAACTGGGAATAGAATAAATTTCTACTCTCGAATTTGTAGTTTTTGATCCTTGCACTGAATGTAGGAGCTAGAAATTAGCTTGATAATTAAAATTGGATTTATACCTGAATAGTTTTGTTGGTCTGAGACTCGTTTTATTGCCTTCAAAGATTGATGTTGATGCACTAATGTGTGGAAATAGTTGTTTCTCCATGTAAATGAAGGGCAGTTGTTGAAACGTGGACTGCTGAACAGGCAATATAGCACTTTCTGGATTGCTTAGAAAGCAAGTCTGACAACATCACTAACAACAACCCCCCACGTTCTCTGGCATCAACATCTGAAGCTGTTAATAAATGTCAAACTCAAGTTGGGTGATATGTCAAGGCATCACTGAGGAAGGATAGGAATGGAGAAAATGAATTCAACTAGTGAAGTGTTTCAAGATGAATCCAACAACTACGAGGTGATGCTTCTGGATGACCTGTGTGAACTGGGATGCTCCAAAAACAAATAAGGTAGATGACCACACACCCACATGCTGTGGTTCAAACAATTATTCCCCAAAGGTCCCCATCCCCAGCTGCACCAAAAGACTGAAACAGTTTGTAAACTTTTTGCATAATTGTATTTGTCTGCTTCAGAATCTGCTGCTGAACTGTGTTTTTTCTGGACCCTCTTTGGGGACAGAAGCAAAACAACAACAAAAAATACATAAAGTTGATCAAAGTTGGATAACACTTGCAGAAGATGTTGGAGGGAACTTGGGACATGCTGTGTCTCCTAGAGCTCCTTCCACTTGGATACTTAATGGGTCAGACTAGGATCTGCCCTATCGGTTGGGACGTGTTCATGTTTTATCCTTAATCTTATTCACTGTTCTCTGTATTTGTCCTTTGGTATGTTATCACCAAAATGACCTAAAAGGAAAAAATGAGAATTGGCTCAAATTTTTGTGCGTTCCTCCAAAACTTCAGTGTTTTCACTGCTTCCGATGCCATCTCCTGACATAGCTCTCATCTTCTCCAGCCCTCCCCTGGAAGCTCTCTGGCATCCCCAACTGCAGGAATGCTGACAAAATGCTGAGTGGGTATTTTTCTCTGGAGAACACAAGGCTGTGTTTGAGCAGCAGCGTGGCAGCGGCTGCTCCCTTGGGGCTCCCTCTGCCATAATAGGCAATTAGGAAGGATTTGTAATTGTCCTGCTGTTGCGCTGTCTTCTGCATCTCTTTAGTTGATTACTTTATGGCACAGTGTTCCAGTTGGGCTGTCATCTTTTTCATCTGTCATGCTTCCAAAACAACTTAAATAGGCAGTATGGGAGGGGTTTGCCCAGTTTTCTATCTGTGCTGCAGCCTGTGGATGTTAGAAGAGAATAACCTTCTCTAATTGTTTTCATATCTAATTAAGGCATTTAAATACCAACCCTGATCATTATACTACTGGCTCTGGCTCTAGCTGCAAAGAGCAAGCCATCAATATGGTGTAAGGAGCAGACATACAAGGGAGTTGCCTGAGCACATGCTTAAGAACTACAAATTAGCACTTTCCTTTTCAGCTTTTGTGTGTTTTTTCCTTCCAAGCAAAGACAATCCTTGGCTGTGACTCTCTCTCCCTTGTAGAAAACTCTGCATGAGCTTGGATCACTTGGCACAGTTATGATGCAGTGTTAAATATTAAGAGCTTGTCCCAAGGGACGTGCTGCCTTCTGCTCCCCATCTGCATCTCTGCTGCAAGGATCTGCTTGCAGGAGGAGGGGATGCGTGTGGCATCTCTCTCCTCCATGTGACATCCTTGCTGCTACACAAAGCCCATCAGCATCCCTTGCTTTGCCCCAAGTGGGAGTCTCAAAGTGAACAAAATGGCAAGGAGTTGGAAAAAAAATAGTTGGCAATTGAATTCTTTCCTTCTAAACCTCTGAGCTCTGCTGAATTTTTGCTTCTTGCATGCCAGAACAAAAGGGCTCTGGCAGCAGCGGAGCTATGCGATCTGGGCTTTGCTGAAAACCATTGTATCAAATTCAGCAGCCTAGAGTATTGGTTTCCGTGCTCAGGAGCTCGCTGATGGGCTGTGATCAGCTGTCACCGTGTCTATCAGCAACAATCGGTGTTTCAGCATCAAATTTACATCAGTTTCACCAGATTGGATGACTTGGGCAGTTTCTGCCATTGTCTATATTGGCAGTGGTAGTTTAACATGGCCGTGCTGGTCCTGCCCAGTGGAGCAAAGGGTGCAGCCCTTGATGTGGACATCTGAGTGACACGGCTGAGCTCACACAGTGTGCCCTTCCTCCAGGAACTGCTTACCTTTAGGAGCAGTTTGGCCACCTTTCCATTTCATTTTTTTATAAATCAAATATGTGTCACCCTGTATTTCTGAGCTTCTCAAATTTGGGACCATGGCAGTCCCATCCTAGGTGGGAGAAAGCATGATACAGCTGCAGAGAGTGAGAGTGAGAAACCCATCGTGCTGTTGACCCCTTCAGGATCTCAGCTTCGTGCATTTGGTGGAGCTGCTCTAATTCAGTGAGTCAGATGGCTTTGTGCTCTGTTACTTTCAGAATTTAGTCTGTTTTCCTCCATCCTCTTCAACGATGTGGGGCTGTACCTTTTCTCCACACAGGAATTACCCTTAAAAGCAGGGCTTGTCTTAAAGTAAGACACCCAGCAACCCTCCCTCAACGTGTGTTCTTACATCAATGCAAACCAAACCCCTTTCCCCTTGGTTCCACCTGAGGAAGCATTTGAGATGCAGCCCCTTTCTCATTTTCCCCCATTCTCCTCTCAAAATCATTAAGGCTGGAAAAGACCCCTAAGATTCCCAAATCCAACCCCACCACATCCCTCAGTGCCACTTCTCCTGCTGCATAGCACATAGCTGGTTAAACACTTCTGGGTTTGGTGTCTGGGAGGTTTCCACCCCAGGTTGCTGGGGGAGGTATTGTGAGGGAAAGCACAAGTTCCTATTTATGGAGATAGGACCTATAGATGTTGCACTTGCTAAATACGCTCTCAAAGCGCATGCCTCTATCTAGTGTTGATTTTACAGTGGATGATTTCTTTTGATAAGAGTTGCTTGGGATGTGGGGAGGGGGAGGGAAAGGGAATTCCTTTATTGTGTAAGGAAATTGTATTTAAAAATCAAAATAAAAAGAAATATACTGTTTATATATTTCTACTTCGTGCCTAATCGGTGTCCTTTATTTAACCTTCAGCTCCCAGCACAGCTTGGATCTTTGTCCCAGCACAGATGTATGTATTTCTTTGGTTATTTGTGGGAATCCCTGTAGCTGAGATTAATTCTGTAATCCCCAGTGCTTGCAGCGTTTGAGCATCTCAACTGTGACAGTAAATAGATGCATTATCTTGTAGGCAGGAGTCTGGGCAGCCACGGTGGGATTGCTTTGTGTCTTATGGTCTGATTTTTGGGTGGTCCTGCAGGTGGAACCAGGTGTTGGAAAAGACCCAAGAAGGATCACCACATCCAACTTGAGATATGCTATGGCTAATGGAGAAGAATAAGAAATAACTACACCTTTCAGCTGATGCACTGCACTGACAGACTCAAGGCCTGGCTACCATTGCCTTTATGGCTCTGACTTTGCTGGCATTGCCCAAATGGAGACAAGCCCCAAATTAGTGAGGTGGTGCATAGTGGGAGCCTGAGGATGAGCTGTGTTTCCTAGGAATTATGTCACTAGTTATATATCATGGAACCCAAGCTTGAAAGGTTACTCTCCAGTTCCCCGTAGCCTGCCAGCTTCCTCAAGAGTCTTGTACTGCAGACTTGAGGCTGTTTGAATGTGAACGTGAGCTGAGATTGAGGCACAGATAGAACAGCATGAGCATGGTGGCATCCTCTGCAAGGAGCCAGGTTCTGCATCTTCATAGGTCTCAGGGCACAGGACCAATTCTCCCCTCTGATGTTGCTGACTCTTTCAAATAACTTATATATGCATACGGACAGGCTGCGGGGTTGGGGAGGGAAGGGAAGAGTAAGAAGTGATTTTCAACCACCTGTACTCAGCAAGTGAATCATCCTTCAGAAAGCAAGAGCTTGGTGCTAAGAGCTGAGCGTTGCACACAGCTGATAACTGGAAGGCAGCTGAGAGCTCTTCCCAAGGGCTCCTTGGCTTTGTGTGACCTTCTCAGCTGAGAATTTAGCAATTACAGAATAGCTTTTTAGGAGGCTTGAGGCATCTCAACCCTACTGTCTGGGTCCTAGAGACAGTTCTGGTGGTTTTTACATTGCTCAGCATGAGAGCAGCACCAAATTTTGAGCCCTGATGGGTTTTGTGCTCAATACGAAGCTGCCTGCAGTCCCCACTTCTAGCGAGATGACTGGAAAGCCAGAACATGTTCTTACTGGTCTGTTCTGGACACGTAGAATTGATTCATAGAATGGCTTGAGTTGGAAGGGATGCTCAAAGACCATCTGGTCCTTCCCCTCTGCAATGAACAGGGACATCCACAGCTCCATCAGGTGCTCAGAGCTCCATTCAGCCTGTTGGGGCTGATGGTATGGTGTTGATGTATTGACTTGATTTTTTCTTTTCCAAGCTTAATGATTCTATGAAAGCAGACATTCCTACAATGGTAAGCAGTGGTAGTAAGTAAACCTTACAGTAAGGAAGTCCTGGTCTGAGGTGAGTGAAGATGCAGAGCTGGATGTTTGGTTGTCAAAGCCAAACACTTTGGATGATTCCAGTGGTCCAGCATGAGGTTCTTCCATGTGTGAGGCTGCAGTGATGGCTGGGAAGGGATGAATGAGCTAACCAAGAGCAGATGGGCTCCCTAGGGAATGAGAAGCCAGCTGCTGTGCAGAACTTCATGCGTCAGTTTGTGAATCCAACAGCTCCAGAGGGAAATCTGTGCCTCCCCTGTGGACTCTCAGCTGTCATCCTCCAGCCCATAGGACAGGACCTCAACCAGGACATCCCTCAGGTCCATTCTGGGTGCAGGGGGTGAACTGGGAAGGCTGCAAAACTGCTGAAGCAGTGTGATGATGTTCTCGGTGTTACAAGAGGACCTTAAATACACAACAGGGCCTTAAATACATGAGGAGCAGATAGGGGTGGGCAGAACATCTCGCCTTCTGGCTGTCACCACATGAGGCTGTGGCTGTTGGGCATCAGCCTGGCAGGGCCACAACCCTATGAGGTGCCAAGTGCTCTGTTCAAAGCAGATCTAAGAATAGTCAGCCTGAATGTCAGCACCATTCAGTGACTGGGATGGAAGGGGTCAGATAGGGACATGTTCCCTGCACCTCATCCTCCCTTCCCCACCAGGACACACTGATGACTGCTGTGCAGGAGTTGGGGTTCACATCCTTCAGCCAAAACGATAAGGATGAAGTGTTCAGAGAGGTGCTGAGGTCTGATGGGGGCCATTACTGCCCCCAGATGTCCCCTCACTGCTGCAGAAAGCAGCTGGGGTGAGGCCTGTTGCTTTCTCCTAGTGGCATTTTGAGGAGGGAACTGAATACCCAGAGAGGAAAAAGCAGAAGAAATGATGAAACAGCTATAAATTATAGGTTTTGTTTAATATATACATTAAAATATATATATTTGATGTTTAGGATTTGCTTTATTTGCTTTTCTCGGTTTGTTGTTGTTTAGGTTTCTGGGGTTGTTTCATTTTTAATATATCTTTTCCTACTGCTTTCCATCAGGGACTTAATCTGCTGAGAGCAGGTGCCATCTAGGGGACAGATCAAAGAAGACAAGGAGGGTTTTATTTCCAAACCAGTGCTGTTTGCTGCCCGGCCCCAACGCATCTGCCATCTCCGAAGGTCCTCAGCCCACCACCATGTTGGTCCTCATTGCTTTGGTCCCATCTGGTGGGAGCATCCTGGAGGAAACCTCCCTGCTGTTCACCAGTGGGCCCTATCCAGCTGAGATCTAGAAGAGGGTCAACCAGGAGAGTCATAGAATATTAAGGCTGGAAAAGACCATCAAGATCACTTAGTCCAACTGTGTTCTGCATCACCTGCTTTGTTCCATCTCTTGTTTGGATGGGATGGAGGTGGAACACCTGTGCTGCCATTGAGGAAGGTGGTATGTTCTTTATATGGGTCCCCCAAAATAAAGTAGTCCCTGTGTCACTGCAGATATCTAAAGGCAGGCTCTACCCTAGAGGTGGTGGATGGGAGAGCAGTAGGTGGAAATGCTGCACATCCAACACATGGCCACCACTTGGAGTAAAGATTGGGTAGTAATGATAGCAGCTTGCTAATAAAAGCTGGCAATTGAGTGATTATGCCTGCATACTGTGTGGCTGAAGGGTTTGCATTAGAAACTTCAACTAAATCACTCATTTCTTCACCTTTTCCTCTTTAAGTTCTGCAGTTCTTTCCTCTTCTGGATCTGCAAACCACCAGGCCCTGCTGGGGGCTCCTCTCCTCCCCATCCTGCATCCCTTTTCCTCATCCCTATCACTTCCATCTCTCCAGGCCATCAGGAAGACACTGTGGTGGCACCAGCACGTGGGTTGGCTGCACTGGGGTGCACAGGTGACTCCCAATGGTAATTTCTCCTGGTTATTCAAAACATGCACATCTTTGGCAATGTGAATGCTGAAAGCTGAGTGCTGTCTGTGCAGACTCCAGCAGAGGGAGTGTGGCCATATCTGATGCTTTAACACCCATCTCATAGAATCATAGCGATTGGCTTGGAAGGGACCCTTAAAGGCCATCTGGTCCCACTCCCTGCAATGAACAGGGATACCCACAACTCCATCAGGAGGTGCTCAGAGCCCCATCCAACCTGACCTTGGGTATCTGCAGGGATGGAGCATCCTCCACCTCTCTGGGCTGAGATGAGCTGTTTGCACATCTCTTTGGGTCAGTGTTTTTTTTCCACAAGGCTTCCAGTTGCTCCCCATCTCTTCTGGAAGCACAATTCATGGCATGACTTTATCATAAAAAGTTCTTTTTTTTCTCACTATTTTGGGGAAATGTCCAGTAAGGGGGAAGGGGGGGGGGAAACAACAGCCCAGCTCTGAGAACTTCAAATCACAGATTGGTTGTGAACTTCCCAATTCTCCTTTGGCTTTTCCTTACATGGAAAGAGAATTTTACGCAGGAAGCTCTTTGCTAGCTGGCTTCTCTTGTTGAAATCCTTTGGCTACCATTGTCAACACTGTGGGACCAGATCCTGAGTCCCCATGGGGCACTATGAGCAGCGTCCCATCACTGTGCCTCCATCTCCTCCCCTGAGGATGAGTTTCTGAGGGCTATGCCTTTGTGAGTGTGGTGATGACGGGTTGATGGTTGGCTCTGATGATCTCAGTGGTCTTTTCCAACCTTAATGATTCCACAATTCAGTAGAAAGGTAATGCCCTGTATTGCTGCTGTGGGGAAGGCAAAGAAATGGGAGGGTAGAGAATGCTAGGCTGGGCTGAGGACTTCATGCTGAGGAAGAGGGTTGAGAAATTTTGTCCCAGTCCAACCAAAATTGATCCCTTCCTACATCCACATATCTCATTTAGGGACTCTATAAATACTCTTTTCCCTTTTTAGCATTGTAGGTTGGTTTTTGAAGGGTGTATTCCATTGCCATCTTGGACATCTCTAGTACCTGGTTAATTTGCTGTAGTTCTGTGCTGTATCTTGGAGGCCTAAACCACCTCTTGGGTACCCACCACACCCAGATGGTGTTTGCTGGATGAACACCTCTGGGAATTGGGCTTATACACTCAGCAGGAGACAGGGATGTCTTTGGAGGAACCCCTGGGGAAGAGGTGACATTGGAAGCTTAACAGATCCTTAAAACACTCCAGGCAACCTCATTCCTGACCTCAGCCATCACTGAAGCACCATGGGGTTGGACTGTTGTCTGCTTCCCTGTTTCCATATCAAACTGGGTTTTGATACTCCCTAGGAGCAGAAGCAGTCCTTACTGATGCTCCTTGAAAACTGATAGGGCCAAGTGAATAATTTTATCCCTCTGGATTGGTTCTGCCTCCTCAGAGGGAGAAATATCAACACCTGCAATGCAGGAAAGCCTGATTTGGGATGCTAATCCCACAAACTTTGGGAGCTTGAGGACCTTGGAGTTAATGAGATTTCTCAGAATTTGCATATTAATAACTTTTACCTCATCATTAGAGATAATAGAGATTAATGTC